TAAGGTATAGTGCAGACAAAAAACTGTAATGCTCTGCAAGAATAAAGTAACTTGATACTTAATAATTTACATAAAAAATTTATTTATGCATCATTATTTTAGGGTCCCGTCAACTACAGAGGATATAAAAAGCTATGAGGATTTCCTTCTTGATAAAGCAACACCAATAATTAGGTCGTTATCGGAAACAAATATTTCGAGCAGCAAAAATGAGGAAATGGAAAAAGTGGGACGACTCCATTCTTTGTAATTACACAGCCCATCCTCCCATCCTCAACACAAACGAAAATTAGGCCTGGGAATGCGAGTATTGTCTGCAGAATTAGACCGCAAGCAAGGGGGTGCCAGGGCTGCTCTTATTGATGCCGGTGACGTCACTCCAATGACGTCACACCGAAGACGACTGGCAGTAAAAACCCCAGCCGTTTTCGTTTTAATTTCGTCGAGGCCTGAAATTAATTTCCCGCTCACACAAGACGGAGGAGGATTTTGGGAGTTTCTGTCTGTGGGGAAAAAGCATAGAAATTTGAAAGTTTTAAGGGATGAATTTAGGGGCGCATGTGCCGCCATCGATCTCGGCCGATGCACTCTGACGTTTTTCAGACTGTTTGCCGACGTCAAATAAAATAGACGGAGATGTATGTATGCAATGCCGAGACCGGCCGCTCTATTTTATTAGACCGACACTCTATTAGCAGACGCCTGTGGGGGTTGTAATTGAAGACGTCATACTACATGCAACAGTGGCTCTCGACCCGCTGCTCAATTAGACGATCCTCTGGCTCAAGTATCCTTTTCTCTGCCGGCTGTAAAAAGAAGCACGGCACTAAAATTTACGTCCGAACCCGGCTTTGGGGGCGATTTGCGAGGCGTCTGTGATTAGAAATTTATGTAGGGGTGGCCGCACCTCCTATTCTTACTGCCAGTTTGAATTACGACTTCCAGAGAGGAAAAGGTTGTTCATTTAATTGAATTTTTAACTCTGTTCAAATTTATTCAACGTTTACTTGCACTTTGAACTATAAAGTGGATTTAACAGAGCCAATGAAATTTTTACAATGGAAGAAAAAATCGAGCCGATCAGAAACTAAAGCATTCAATTGCAGTTTGAAAAAATATTGGTTGGCTGAAAGATATTTTCTGTGGAAAAATCAATTCTTAAAAAAAAAAAAAATTATGACCTGTTCAACATTTTTTATAAATAATGTTACGAATATAGTTTCCAGACCTTTATTAAAAAAAATTATGATTGCTAATTGAAGGTCTATTATAAACTCTAATAAAAAAAAAAGATTTGCTCTCAAGATTTTATCACGCATACATTTTTTAATGCCACTTTCCTATGATATTAATTATTATCCGATGACTTAATTTTTGTCTTTAATTGGCAGAAAAAAAATTAATTCATAATACAATCTAATTTTAGTTCACTGCATTTTTCATGTATTATTTTAGAATTAATTTAAAAAACGATTTCCAATTTATTTTAAGTTTTTGTAATCATTCTAATATTCAAATAATTGTTCTCTTTAACTAAACATGGAAAAATTATCTCATTTTAATAATGTTTAATAAGATCATTAATATTTTATTTATAAGTAATGATCGCATGACCAAATCTGGCCTCATTTATCAAAGCCATTTGAAATTAATTAATTTTGCTGCAGATCGAAGCTCGTCGGCCTCGATTTTTCACACCAACAATCGCACCTGAGCGGTGTGCAATTATTTATAAATTCTGGACCTGCTGGGGGTGACGTTGAGAGATATATTTTAATTTGCGGCAGCAATTAAGTGTGACTGCTGGTGCGCGCCCTCGTCCCATTCATCGCGACCAGTGAGGCACGTCAGGTGCAGGCAAGCGTCGGCCTTACAGGGTGCATCGCATATTATATGTATTCAGTGTGAAATCCTTTCAGAAAGCGATTGCGATGCAGAAACGTCGACGCTTCTTGATACCTCTGCGATTTGCAAAATGGTAATGAGGTATGCAACGTCTCCGTTGGCTGCATTCAAGCAGATTTTGCCAATCGGCTTTGAAGACGTGCGAATGACAAGATGGATTAATTGTGCTGCATAATTGATAGCAGGGTGTCTAAAGCAATAGTTTTTACTGTCAGTTACTTCAGTTTCCGATAATTTGCTGCTAAAAAGCGATCCAAGATGATTTATGACCTCTTGAAAATCGAGCGTGTTAAATTATAAAAAATTAATACAAAAAGATTCAATATCGGAAAGAGATTTGGTTTCTTGTTTGATAAATTTATACCTGTGATGAATAATTGGTGCCAAAATCAACCGAAATAATAAAAAAAAAGCTTATCTTATATTTAATTGTAAAAAAATTAAATTAAATGAAGATCATGAAGAACTAAAATTGAAAAACGCTTTATAGATATTCATTTTCAAAATATATTATTTTAAATTATGCTCATAATCAGCTTTATATTTCCTTTGAAATTAAATTCGTCCTGATTAACAACCTTTTCACATCCCCACAGCAAATTTTAATTAATTAAATAATTGCTCTGTGCTTCCGTTGCAAAGCAGTGCATTATTCTATTCCAGGCCATAAATTTTAATTAAGGCTTCGTTCCAGGGAGAAAGGACTCGTTCTTTTACAGCACAATAAACAATGGGATGTCGCTGGCGGTGCATTAAAAATTCTGCAGCAAAGAGGGTGAAAAAGTGGTCAAAGTCTAGACAGTCAGGCCATGCATTATTCCGGATCGACGAGGGCGAATCCACAGCTCTGGTCCATTATCCGCCGGCGGTACATTATAGTCGGTGCACAACTGAGAGAGCAAAGTTCTGTGGCACTCGCGGTTCTCGCAGAAAGAAATCACGCTCTGATAATGGCCGTAAAAGCTCTCAAGTAAAATTTGTTGTTTGCACCTGCCAGTGACTGGAATTCGGAAAGTTCTTTCTGGGTCATTAATTTTAATGACGGCGCAGAGTTAGTGGCTAACAATAAGCATAAAGTTCATTTTCTTGATTACTTTTGTGAACCTGCTCTCAACCATGCTAAAAATAAAATGAGATAATTTCGGATTGTTTATAATCTTGACCTTTAAAGCTTGAATTATATAGATTATTGAAAAAAAATTAAATATTCTGTTACCAAAAATGCCAATCAAAATTTTTTAATGTCGTGGTTCAATGTTTTGACTAGAAATTTAATCAAATTGTGCTTACTTGGTGCTAATTGTTGTCTACTAGTGATGAAAGAAATTATTGACAAAGTGTTTTGGAAACTCAGTTTCCTCTTCTTTTCGCTTTTATCAAAAAACAGGTGTTCCTTCAAGGCTCATTAATCTGGCGTCTAATTACATGCACGCAAAATCAATTTTGGAACTTTCGATGAGAAATAGGACGGCGGGCGTTAATAAAAAGCGACGGCTGTGAAAAAAAATAGCGATTCATGCACAAGCTCATCTGGCGAAGCAGGTGTGCGTTCACTCGGCGGAGCGGCTAAAACTGGGATTTGATTCAATTAGCGCGCCCATCAGGCAGATTGATAGGCGGCCCCCGACTTGAGGCAAATAATCGGCCCCCGGGAAAACGCGCGAGGCACAAAGGCGCTAATTGAATGCGAGGCGCACCGTGCGTGGATCGCGAATTGTGTTTGCAGTGCGTTGTTATTATAAAGCTCGTTCAGAGTATTACTGCACGCGGCTGGAAGTAATCCGGCGATAAAGAGACAAACCGGTGAAAGCACAGACAGCTTCTTGTTGCGGCAAACACAGGATGGTTAGGGTTGCCGCGTTCTAATTATTCTGAGGTTCGTGGTTATGAATATGCGCCAAATTGATTTTCAGATAATAAGCTTTAATTAAGGGGGTGGGAATTCTATCCCCAAAACGGCACCATTAAAACTTAAACTATTAACTTTGTTTTAAATTCCTATCATAATAATTTATTTTGAGTAAAATGTTATGTAGATTATTAGAAATTTTCACGATTGAAAAAAAATTTAAAATCGGGGTTTTAACTGTTCTATAGATAATAATAAATTATTAAAATTTTGGAAATGTGGAAATAATTGTATAATTATGGGAAGTGTATCATCTCATCAACAGGACTCTTAAATATGAAATCAATTATTTAAAATTTCTTTTAAAATTGAAGCAAAAAAATTAACATAAATTTATATGTACTTGTCATTAAATTTAGAAAGGAAAATCAATAAAGAGTAAATGAGGCATTCCTTTTGTGTGGCTTGCCTTCATACATTACAAAACAGAAGGGAGATAATTGGGTCAACTCGTGTTATCAGGAAACGATAACGAACCAAAGAATGTCATAAATTCCATTCACACAGTGACTCCATACACAAGTCGCTAATTTATCACAGCCCCGCCGGTCTATGATGATAATAATATTATGCCAGTTGTAACAGTTAGAAATTTAAGAAATCTTTTTGCCCTCTTTAAATTTTGAGCTCGTAGTCTCATCTACAGTTCCATTATCACAAGATTGATTCCTTCTTTTTTTATGTATAACTTCATTTCAGTACATAATTTCTTCCGTATTTGCAATTTTAAATTTCAATTGTATTGATTTTGTTTTTCCGAACAATTGAGAAATTTTGTATTACATACAGAATTGAATTAAATATATTGATTTAATAACTTTATAATTTTCTGGATATTTTCTGAAAACCATACTGCAATGAAAAGAATCGTGCTGATTTTCTCCCTGTCGGAAGACACGTGTATTTGGTAACCCTGTGAGCGCGTACGAGGGTGTATTCAACTCGCGCGCGTTAATTAATCCTGGCGGCATGCTCACCGAGTGCCAAGGGAAATTACACTGAATACATACGCACACAGTCGCCCTCCCGCCCTCCCTCCCACACACCCTCTGCTCTCTTTCCACCGACAGGTTGGCTTATTTATTTTTTCAGCCGTTTTATTTTCCCAGGGCGCGGACGCCACTCGCAGTGACGTCAGGCCAAAGCCAATTAGATGAGATTGAGAAGCCGGACGGGTGCGATTTTTCTGGACACCGCCGCGTCGAGTCAGTCATGAAGAAACCGGTGAAGGGACGAGGAGGCCAAAGCACCAACACCATCCTCACTTCTTCATCCTACGCTCAGCAACTAACCCAGGTTTAAAAATTACAAAATCTTCAACGTCGATACTTTGAAAAAAAAATTGTAAATTAAAAAATATATTCAATAATTTAATTTTTAGGGATTAAAAAATACTACCAAATTAAATTCCTAATCAAAAATATTCAAGCTAGTTTTCCAACTTGAAAAAATAAATTTGTTCTTGTTCATTTTAAATCAATCAATTGAAAATAAAATAAATTTTTTTAAATAATTTCAACTATACACTATTTACAATTAGATGTTACAGATATTTGAGATATTCCTGTTTAAAAAAAATACAATTAAAAATAGGAATTACTCTAGCTGTTGATCAATGGGGGCTCGATGCAACAATGAAATGTTTTATTAGCCAATCAGAAGCGGTACCAGTTTTAAAGTACCGCTTCTGATTGGCCCTCCAACAATGAAAATTGATTTCATTGTTGCATCGGGCCCCCATTGCTGTTGATAAAAAAATTTGCTTTAATGAAAATTAATTACCTTAATGCATTCCCCCTAACGCCTAAAGACCCATTTCTATAGGTGAACCCAACACCACCATCCGTTTCTGTGGACGACGAGGAAGAGGAAAATTCTGGATTCTCCGGCTGGCTCCGAACTGGCGAGGGAGTTGAGTACATGAAACTTTTTGTCATGTGCAACACCTTGATGGTGGTGCTCACCATGTCCTGGCCGCACATTCGAAACGTTTACACCATTGCCTCTGAATACTGGAACGGCGAATAAACACACAGAAACATGCACGTACGTGGAACATTTCGAATTTTGAACATGAAAAATAATTATATTTTTAAAATACTTCCTCGTTTTTACTAAAAAAAAAATTATAATAGTTTTTAAAATTACCAGCAATTTTTGTCACGCCCAGGTTACGAAAAAATTTATAGTTCAGAAAATTATAAAAATTTGCATTTGAGTGCAAAACAAATAAAAATAAAAAATCGAATAAGTAATTTCTAACATAATTTGATTCTTTAAATTTAGATTTTTACTTTTGTTAAAAAAAAAATCAATCAAATCCAATCTTTTTGTACTTTTTTCGCAGGGTTTGATGGTGATTAAGGGTTTCATGACCATCGCCATCGTGGGGTGGTACTCGGCGGGCGTGTGGCGCGTGATGAATGCGTACTTTGACAACGCCTTCAAGGACCACCTCACCGAGAAAATGAAAGACCCGGCGCTTTTGCGAAGAACCGTCCCTGAGGCCGTAGGCCTCCCACCCTTGAAGAGCCCCGACCCCTCCGAGAAAGCCCCCGACCTGCCGCCCCTCAACTCGTTCAAGCCGCCCCCAGACGAGAGGCGGTTCTTCCGGGAAAAGCCGATGATGCACTACGACGAAGACGAGTTCGAAGAAGTGTGTCCGCTGGAACGGGCCCCTAGCAAAGGCCAGGACTCTGCCAGTGCGGACAAGTGCGGTGGAAGCCCCTGAGGTGCTGGAAGCCGCACACGCCAGTCGTAATCGAGTTTGTTTGATGCAATTTTGACGCACGGCTATTTTGCCTCCCGCCATTGTTACTCAATAATACATATAGGTCTATTTTAGTTATTTTTATCTGGTGCTAATTTGATTCTCTACTGGACTTTTATGTAATCCGACTTTTAAAACTTTTTTTTAAGCTCACAAAAATTGTTCAATTTTTAATTTTGTTGATAAAATATTTAAAATGTTCATTGAAATATATGTGATTATCTAATTAAAATGGTAGTCAGTGGCTTTAAATAAATTTATTAAATTTTAAAACATAGTTTTACTTTGGCTCCATGAGGAACTTCAAACAAAAGGGCGGGCAAATTTTAAATTTTGGTGTTTTTTTTTTTTTAATAATTTTGAAGTAGATTTTATAATTAAATTTTAAAATATGAAATTTGTTTTGTAAAATGCAAAATTGGAAATAGACGTTTGAAAAATTAGAAAATAAAATTTTATTTTTAACTAAATTTAATAAAATCCGTTAGTCTTTACATCTTATAAACAGTACCAAAATATTTTAGAACAGATTGAATCATTAAATATTCTTAATTAAAAATTGAGTATATTATGTAAAAATTCTCATACGGATAATGTGATTAAAGAAAAAGAAAATTGCCATAAAAAACCTTGAATAATGCAAATAATGTGCCAAATTAATTAGGCTAAATCTTTCATGCTTTTTTTTAACTGTCATAAATAAAAGAAAACAGGCAAATTTTTGGCAGTAAAAAATGTATACGGAGATAATTTAGCACACGATTACATGCATGAGCCAAAAGTAAAAGTGCATAATTTATTAAAATTAAATTATATTTTTATTTTATCCCATTCTGCAGGATATGTAAAATGATTATTGTATCGTTTAGTATGCAAAAGGAAGCGCATCCGTCATAATAATTGCGTGAAGGGGTAATCAGATGCGCACGATTTCTCAAGTTTCTTGAGACGACTTCTCTTATTTTTTCCTTCCTCGCAAAATTTTACCGCATGCCTTGAACAATTTAAAACTTGACAAATATTCATCTATTCTTCACTTTTAATCCGAAAAATAGACACACTTCAGTAATAACTTAAATTATTTTCATCACCTCTAGTGATCTCTCTCGAGTGTAATTTTCTACTCGGGGGAGAACGCAACAGGTGCACCGCCCCCACACATCAGCACCCTCGTCTTTGGCGACCTAATCGTTTGCTAAGAGATGCTGTCGCCGCCGATTTCTCGGCCCACGTCCCTTGAGGGTGTGCACGTCCGAAGCAGAACTGTCAGGGGTCGACCCTTTGACCCCAACACGATGCCGAACCGTCCATAAATCACCACGAACAGGTGCGCCGATGCACCTGACCGAAAGGAAAACGCCGAGTTTTTGTGCTTTGAACGACCAGTCTCGTCTCCTTACTACTGTCGATCGACGGAAAATATGTTCAAGAAAATGCACTCACCTTATTCGGCGCTTTCACTCGGCCAGGCCGATGTTTTCGGCGTAAATCCGCGGCTACCGTCGGCCTGAAGCACAGCTGCCGCCTTGTTTGAATGGGAAACTGACGCCCCGCCCACCAAAGGCGCGCTTCTTTTTATATCAACGGACTTGGCGCGGGCTATTGCGAGATGACGAGATTCGTGAGAGACTTAATTTAGGCGAGCAACTGAAAACTACCTGAACCTGAAAACACCTGATATGAGTCTTTTCCTCCGATCAAGAAAAAAATAGCATGTTGTAATGATATAAAGATATATCCGGAGAGGGAAAATGAATTTAATTAAAATGTTTGTAATTTAATAAAACAAGTAAAAGTTTATGATTTTATAATAATGTCTAAGATAAATTTCGTGCAGAAATAAATATCAAGCAAAAAATTAATCACATGGATTTATTCAAAATGCGAGAGGCTAGCAAGAGGATAGAATCCAATGTTAAAATTTATTTCAACAATTAACTTGAATTAATTTCACAAAAAATTATATCCTTTAATTTCTAATTTTTGTCAAACATTATTAAATACCATGAAGCAGGATTATTTCTTATTCTATTTTCCTGCTTCTGTTAACAATTATGGGCGTGATCTACCTAACGTTAAAAAAAGCCGGAGGTTAAAACAAATACCAAACTATTCAAAAGTATTTAAAAACTCATATTTATTTGATGCTATAATACTATCATGTTCTAGAGAAAATTACTCCCATAATTTTAATAACGAGCTTATTAAGCTTAATTAAAATTATCTAAATGAACAATAATTAAAAAAAAAATTATACCGCGCAATGCTTTAAGCGCGACTTGCTCAAATTAAAAACAATTTTAAAATACTAATGCACCTCTCTTGCTTATTATCCATTTTTAGAGCGAAACACAGGTCGAAAATATTGTAAAAATTGGTTAATAATGCTGCAATGGATGAAGGAACTCATTTCAAAAATTACAATTGAATATAAAAATCAGTCGGTCCCATAAAAAACCACGGGTTTTCATCATTTTCAAATGTTTCACTTGACGTAAGGGTGCTTCGCCCTGATGTGCGCCTTCAGGGTGTCTCTGCGACTGTACGAGGCCCTGCAAATTGGGCAAACGCTGCGTACGGCCTGATGCCTGTGGAAGTGGTGCCACTTGTTGGTCACTTGCTTGCCGCACATCCGACACCTGAATTGCGGTCCGGGTCCGTCCTCGAAGAGACTGTGGTAACTGCCAGCTGCAAAAACGGGTCCACGACAACAGATCTTTTTATTAAAAGTGGACAAACAAAAGAACTTTTTATTCCGGGACTGCTCACACCAAGCGAACCATGCAAAGCAAGACAGAGAGAAAGGGCAGAAATCAAAATGTGCGTGGTTTTTTGGGTGATACGACCTTTTTTTAATAATCTCTCCTCGCTCGTATACAGAGACAGAGACATCATTTTTCTTCCTCGGCAATAATTAATATCTACACTGTTATTAAGAGTGACTTTGAAAAACCGGTTTCACAAAATTAGAGCTAAAATGGCTGTTTTTCGTTTTCTCCACCGTGGTTTCTGATTCGGTTAGATTATTAACCCTTTTACATTTTTTTTAGACTTTTGTTACAGAAAAAAGTAAATATAATTATAGTATAAGACTTTGGTTAAAAAAAAAATGGATAATCATACAATGATAAGAAATTAAGCACACACAGATAAAACATGCACGGCATATTTAGCAAGTATAATTCAATAATAATTAATTAATTAGAAAATAGTTGATTAAACTATGGCACAAAGGAACCGTACTTACGAACTAAAGTCGAGACATACCTTGACGACTTCAAAAAAACAAGTCGACTAGTCAATAACATTGTATGAATGCGCGCGTGTGTTTTACTCAACATATTACGACTCCGTAACATTATCGGTTGTACATAATCGTTTCATGGCAGCGGCGTGAAAAAAAAAATAATTAGTCAAATCGGCAATCATTGAACACAACCAAGAACTAAACAAAAATATAAATGGCACACGTTTTACACTTTTTTTTGTGAAGCTTAGTAAAGAAATCGCTTTGCTTGTTTCTTCTTCCGTACATAAAACTAAATAGTATAGTGTATTATGGCACACTTCTAGTTGATTATCAAATAAAAAGAGAGAGACCGAGTTACTTCCATTTACAGTCTTGCTAACGCGGCAAGAAACAATTAAAATCGCTTGTATGCTATTTACAGATCAAACTGAGGAAACAGTTTTTTTATGCCCTGTGGGTCAAGAGCACTGGTGGAGGCATCGCAACTCTATTGTGTTTGTCTGTCTGTTCGATTACTTAACTCTCAACTTACTCGTGTATTATGTACAATGCACGCACAAAGAGTGGTTTTTAGTGAACTAGCATTACAAAACACTGCCAAAAATAGGAAATTTTAACAATGTCTCTGGTCACTTTTCCCCATCAAATGGAAAGAAATGAGAAGCTCCCTTGGCTATTTGGTCAGGATTTTACCCACAAAGGGCACTGCTCGGAAAACTGCATACTTTGAAATTGAGGCATGGCATTTCAATTGTGTATTAAAAGACTAATTACTTGCAATTCAAATGGTTTTGATTGACTTTGAAAAATAAATTGCAGTTTTGCGGGCAGTTGCCAGTCGGTTAGTTTCAATGTTAGTAGGGTGAATCCTCCACCAGTGACTGCCAAGCACCCCCGAAAAGTAAGTCAAGTATTAAATCTTGGCGTCGAGGTATCCTGGCACCATGCGATGTTTGAGTCGGATGTGCTGCTTGGCGTTATCCTTGCGGGAGAAGCGCCGGAAACAGAAGGGGCACGGATAGTTGCCAGGGTTGTGAGACAAGTAGTGGTTCTTGAGGTTGGATATTACTTTGTAACAGAGTCTGCATTGCTTTTGGCCATTGGGGAGGCGTAAAAACATGGATTTCTGATCTTTTATGTCGCTATCCGAAGTCAAGTTTGCCATTCCTGCAAAGAAACGAATTATAGATATTCCTTTCGTTCGAGAGGTCACCTTTCATGCTGCACAGGGTGTTGGTTGGTTGGTGGTTTTTTTTAATAATTAAATTCTCACTTGGCATTGCTGGTGCCGCTTGATTAATGGGGGCATCGTGAGCATCAATCAAACGCTACATGCCACACTGGACAAAACGACAAACAACACTGACTGAAGCAAAGGACAATGCAGACATGCACTATAAAATCAAAATAAAAAAATAAAAAACTGAAAACTGGACAAAACAAAACAGATCACTCCAAACGTGAGGTTCGTCAGAAGATGTAAAAAAATCACTCAAATACTTGTTTAGATGCATCTCTCGGAAGACCCGGCGGATCTTTTATTAAATCTAGATCGTACTGTACATTTTGTTCATTAAATTGTCATCATAATACTTTTGCTATTTTTATAAAATCATTCATTGTCCCAGACGAATAACTAGTTAATTAATATATATTTTGAAATATCCAACTCGAATAGATTTAGCGCATATTTTTCTCAGCTAAATAATCATTCATACAAATTACTTTTATGATTTTCTCGAATAAAAATGCACAAAAGATACACGTTGGTGAGCATCAATCATTTGACTCTACTTCTTTGGGAGCTCAACTTTCTATGCAATTCATATATGAACTAGTAAAATGTAATCTACAATATTTGCTACTCAACGTATTGGCCTGAATTCAACAATTGCTACTCGAGACTACTAGGGAGAGAAAAAAAATATAACAAAGAAAAAATAACTGCATTTTCATCAAGCTGAATGGTAACGGTTGATTTGAGTATAAAATTAAATAATGGCAAGTAAATGGCAAATAACTGGCCCGTTTCCAGTGGTTTCCTGTGATGTAAATGTATAGCAGTAGTAAAAAATTAATCAAATATTTGCCCCGAACAATGGATGAAAGCAGGCCAACGCAGCGGATCAACATGGTTATTTCTCTACATAAGTCCTGGTCAAACAAAAAATTATTCATTAGAGAGCTGCGCTTGGGGGTCGCGCGCGTCACTCAGCAAATTAGGAACTGTCTCGGCGGGCGAGTATGGGCAAACAAGAGATCTCACCAAAGAGAAAGTAAGAAGGTTGATTTGTAAGATTCCAGATTTTTTTTACTGTGAGATTTTGATTAGCAAAAACAACCTCTTTGTTGGGACCTCTTGTTTAAAAGTGAAAAAAAAATAAGGGTGGCGGCTACGTCGAGGCGGGCACGGGGGGTTTGGGCTCCTGTTGATGGTTGACCTTAATGTGCTGCTTCATGTACGAGGGTCGGGAAAAGGAGCTAGGGCAGTAGGGACAGGAGAACTTCTCGCGAAAGTGCACCAGGTAGTGGTTGGCGTAGTTCATGACCACCTTGTGGCACAGGCGGCACTCGCGAGCGCCCGTCGCCAGCTTAATGAACACCGAGTCGTAGTCGCGGTGGCGAACGGCGCACCCTGAAACACAGCCTGATCAGCGGGAGGCAAGAGGCTTGGGGGCGAGCGGTTTGAGCTGGGCGGGCATCGCGACGTCGAACGGGTGCACCGCGCGCGCGTGCTGCTTCATCTGGTCCTGCCGCGCGAACTTCCGACGGCACACCGGACACCGAAAGTTGCCCGGCCGGTGCGTGAAGTAGTGGTTGCGGTAGTTGGAGATCCTCTTGAAGCACACCAGACACTCGCGGTCGCCGGACTCCAGCTTCCTGAACATTCTGTTGACCTCGTGCGGACTCGGCAGTCCGCCGCCGCCCTCGACTGCAACAGAGACGCCGTCAGTGCGCGCCGCCTCTCGCGCCCAAGGGCACGACACCTGCACCGCTCGGGTTAGCTACGGTTGGTTCGAGCAACCCAACCACAGACACCGTTCGATCATCCCTGCCGCGTCGAGCGCACACAGCCACAGGCAAAGAGGTGTGGAGAAAAAGAGGACCGCAAGAGACCAAAACCAGACTAGCGACTAAGTACACCAATCAAACCGCCACCGGCTCCGGTTAGGATGCCTTCCACCTGACCGAGTTGATGCGTGATTGGACTGGACGTTAATTTTGGGCGTTCTGGGCAAGGGATTTTAGTGAGGGGGCGAGAAAGAACTTTTTTAATCAATAGAGGTTTTGAACGAATTGAGATACATGAACATTTTCACCGCACCCAAAAGTAATTGAAGAGAAACTCTTAAGGTTGCTAATTGATAAAATTTATAATTTTAAACTTTTTTCACTTTTAAGTATCACAGTTAAACTTATTGCTCATTATAAAAAAAGTAAAAAAAAATGGCTGATTGAAGAATGATTTTTTAAATTGGTTAAGATTTGGATTCCAAGATCAACAAGAAGAAATCTGAAATTCAGCAACCATAAATAGTTTCAACAAAATAATTAGGAAAGGAGCCCAGTATTCAGGATTCAGTAAAATAGCTCAGCTCTGAAAGTATGATGATCATAGTGTGAATTTAAGAATGTACAGTGCAATTTGCTTGCCAATGTTGTTTGTCCACACCAAAGGCTAAACTCAGCATTATAAAGATGGGCTATTTAAAATGTAATAACAAGTGAGAGATGAGATTTTTAAGATTGAGATGGGCGAATTAATTAGAAGACCAGCACCACCTAAATGCAGGCCCGACGCTGATCGAGGTTCCAGTTGCGTGCGCGCCCGTAATGAGCAGAGTGAGAAAGAGGAACTAACCTTGAATAGAGAATTAGCTTGCACTCAGAAGGTAAGGGACAGGCTCGAAGGGGTGTTTCGCCCTGAAATGCGCGAGCAAATTGTCTCTGCGGGTAAAATAACTGCCGCACAGGGCGCATCGGAACTTGCCCGGAAAGTGCACACGGTAATGGTTTCTACAGTGGGTCACGATTTTGCCGCAAAGCTTACACCTGCTTAGATTGGGCGAGTCCTTCAGTTTTTCAAAAAATACAAAAATCTGACCTGCGAACAATCAAATCAAAAGAGGTGGTTGGCAATGGTTGCTTGTGAAGGTGTCACTGTCTGCTGTTGAAAGCCCAATCTTGCCACCGTTTGAGGGGTTAATAATTTAAGTGAGTGAGGGTTAGTTAGTCGCAGCATGCTGTCTGGTCGTCAGCTTGTCCGAGGGTTAGCCTGTTTCCATATTTTCTTATTGTGTAAATATTTTATCCATTTCTCTCCGCCAACAAACTTGCAGTGATTTAGCCTAACTACGCATGCACAGCAGCCACAAGCAAGTTTCGGTTAGTAAAGCTACCGTCAACTGAAAACCACAAGTCTGTGCAGCATTTGATTGGCATGATGCACTTGTGACAAGCATGCTTGGTTGCACAGCCAGTTTGAGACCACCACTGGTTAATGATAAGGTCGGGGATGTGGGGAGTCTGATAAAAAGACTGCAAACTTACCATCGAGTCCATCAAGAGGGTCACTGCTTGCGCCTGAGGGTTGCCCAGTGTCTCTCAAGTCTGAGATGTTGAAGTTTGAATTATCTAATGTCTCGTCCTGACTGCCATCCTGATAAAAGAGATAAAATTATTATGAATGAAAAGAGTTAAAAATCCATCAATCTGCCAGCATTTTTTTACAAGTTAAATTAAAGAGAGAATTATTATTTTGATTATTTATTTCATGCTAAGTAGCAATCATCTTTGCAAAGAATATATTTCACAGTGGTGCAGACACATATTATATTTTTGAATTGTACAGCAACAGGTACACTGCAATGCCACAAACGTTTCGAATTTTTCGATTCCATTATCAATCAATTCAATTCTCGATTCTTTCACTTACACTAACATCTGACTAATATTACTTAAGGATTTAGGACCTGCCGATGGTTTCACCTTTTGCATGACTAAATTTAGGACCAGCCATATTATGAAAATATTTTTCTAAAAACGTTTTCCAAAAGGAATGAAAAAAGGTTCCAGACCTAGTAAAAATTTTCTTTTGAGATTCCAGATCTCAATGGCTGAAGACATAGTTTCAAAATATTAATTTAAATTTCAAGTTCCAGACCTGAATTTTTTTCACGACTCGGACCAGCCTAATTAAATTTTCAAAAAGTACACCGATAAATACAAAATAGTTGGAATCAGTATAACACAGAAAATAAAATTTGATTCTTAAACTAGAATGCAAACTACTTGAACCGTCTCCCATTGGAGACAATATATGAAATAATTTCCGATAATTTTATAATTTGGTGAGATGCCTGATCTCATCGAAAAAGATTGCGTGGTTTCGAATAGACGACAGAGATTCCTGATCTCGGATAAACATTCACAGCTTGGTCATCACATTCATCATGTCGGAAATGAGCTCGCTAATCTCTGCACATTTGGGGATTCTCGTCCAGGCAATAGGCCGACGGGCTGGACGCCTGTTCCTCTTCTTTCTGCATGCACATGTGGTGTGCCTTGCACTTGTGGTGGTGCAGCACAATCTCGTGACGAAAGTTTCTGCTGCCGTCTGCAAACGAGGTGCGTACAGGCAGCATCTTGGACCACTTACGGCAGAACTGGCAGTACATGATGTCGTTAGCAACATCGTACTGAAGCCACGAATAGGTCTGCAGCCAGCAAGTACGGAATTTGTTGCCTCTGGCGGCGGCCGTGGAGGGCGGCGTCATCCTCTGCGGCTGTTCTTGCCACTTAGGAATGAAAATGTTAACCCTAGGAAGCTCGGACGCGGTCGCCACGTACGCCTGTGGCGGAGCTGGCTGGGCAGGCTGCTGAGGAGCGGCAGCGTAGCGCAAAACGGTTTCGTCTTCCGCAAGGAGAGGGTCGACTTTGCACGCCTCTTTGCTCTACAACAAATGCAGGCACTCGTGTTAAGTGAGGTCACAGTGGGATTGGGGGGCGGCCAGACTGTGGTTTGAAAAGTCACAGCGACCGGATTGGGAATCAGTCTTTGGTCTCCGATTACCTGTCTTTATACAGAGTGCTTTGAAATAGGGCTCCCCATGCATTTGGCGTAGAGCAAAGTTCGGCTGCGAGTCTCAGCCCTTTTACATAATTTTGAAACTCAAGGGCTTCCGTGTGCATTTAATAAGTCTCTGACTTAAAACTAAAGCTCCCTACAATCAGGTCACTCAACTTCCCAGTGACCAATAAAATTTTGAATTACATAACAGGACGTCGAAACACAATGCTGGCACATTGAGAGTTCATAAATAATTAGGCTAAGGGCAATTCAAACCCAAAAAAGTAACTCTGGGCTAAACTTTAATTTGAAAATTTTAGCTGCCTTGCACTCAAAACCCATTTCCCCGTAAAAACATAATCCAGTTTGATCATTATTTGATCCAAATTTTAATATCAAATGAAGAATTAGCCCTGGTGAAAAGGTTGAATCGCCCTTAAGGATTTTTTTGATGTGCTAAAAATTCTTACCGCCATCACTGCCTCTACGTCGTGGTATTCGTCATTGTCGTTGTCTTCCTCTTTGATTGACAACTCATCTGGATTGACGTCCAAGACCTCCTGCTCCAAATCCGCCTCCAACTGCGACGGAGGCACAACTGACAACTCGCCCCCAGCTAAAAGGGAGGCCGCCTGACTGGAATTGCTCTTGTAACTGCTGCACTGTAATTTTGATAATGTAAAGTAAGTAAAATTAAATAATAAAAAATCTGCTAGAATGCAAACCTGTGAGTCACTCTGGTGGTCGTTGTTTGGGATGGGACTTGATCTCACTACAGCATTCCCTGAGTGCCGTCTTTTCCTCTTCTCGGGAGGCGGTGATGAGGCCCCTCTTTGGTCAGACGACTTTTCATTGGCACTGGTTGTGGACGCCTCCTTGCGGCCGTTGCCACCCAAGCCATCAGTCAATCCTCGAATTTTAAGCGCTTCCGCTGTTTTCAGAAAGCGAGGCAGAACGTTTTGACTAACGTTGACCTCACCTGAAATAATTACAGAAAAATTAATACAATCTCAATGCAAAGTTAATAGCTGTTTTGAATTTTATTAATTGATAAGGAAAATTTTTAACTCAAATTAAGGAGACTCACCCTTGTACATGAACTGGAGCAGGGCTTTCATTTCCACAAAGTTGACATCCTTGAGGAAAATGATTGGGTGGGGGTGTGTGTTTTGAAGAAAAAGCGCCTCGAAGTAAGGACTGCAAGCAGACAACATGATCTGGTGCGCCCTAAAGGTGTGGCCCGAGCAGGCCAGGGTGACGTCCGTCAGAGCCTCTCTCTGCAGAAGGCTGCTCAGCACGTCAGCAAGGTTTGTGGGGTGGTTGTTCCACCGGAGGCAGAACTGTTGGTCCTGGTCTTCGCCCATTTTTGCACGTCTCTCTCTTGCGGCAGGTCTGCAAGCAGCAAAAACACACATTGGCCAACCAGTCAAAAGTCTAACAACTCATTATCTTATCAGCTCTAGTTAATTTCTATTATCTTGCTTGACTTGGAGGATAATCAAAAGGGAGAGCTGCCGTTTCATTAACTTCAAGGCAGAAAAATTTGTACCTTAGAATTTTTTACAAAAGATTGATGGTTGAATTTAATCTTGGAATAACGTCTAGAAACTCGTCTCATATTTTTAGGCTTGAATTTAAATTAAAAAATTTATTTATATCACAGCAATAAGTCAGTCACTTAAAATTATTATTGAGTTTAACAAGTGCCATTTTATGAAAAATTTGAAAAAAAAATTACCTTCAAAATCAAAGAAATAAAAAAATTAATTTAATAAAACATACCTAAAATTAAATTGTTTTTTTTTTCAATTAAAAATATAGAAAAAATGGACACCATTAAAATTTTTTGGAAATTAAAAAAAATAAGAACTATAATGAAAAAATTCACACTGCCAAAGAACTCGTAATACCTGCGCAAAAGCAAAATCTGGGTTAAGAAGGTAGAACAAAATACAAGAACTCAAGGAAAATGAATATAAAAATGCGTTGAAATCGAGCAGGAGTGAAAAATGCCGCAAAGCAATGGCCCTGCGCTGTATACTGGCGACATGATGGAACGACCGAATACCCCTGCGGCCCCATCCTACGAAATAAGTCGCTGCTTTATCCTCATCTCGTACCTTAATCACCTCAATATTTACAAATAAAACACCGAATATCAACAGAAACTCACTTTGTTAAGCATTAAATGACACTTTGCGTTCGTCCTCGAGTTGTAGAGGGTGAGTTGTGAGCTGCAAAAGTGCGCCTCTAACCCCGCGGTGTAACGACCCTAGCTAGGGAAAATGGACCCTGAACGCTACGTGTATCCCAGGACGAAGGGGCGGAAAGGAAGCGCCGCGAATTTCAATCGATACGCCCTTACACCCGAACCAACCCCCATCAAAATACACTCCGAGTCTAGAGAAAATTATCCTGATCACGATGAAGCGTTAATTCGCAGGTAACTCGCGTGATTTAGCAACTCACCTTTAAAAAATAAACTCACGACGTGACCTCCCTCATCACATTTGCAAATGTCGGCCGTAAAGTGTACCTATCCTAGAGCTGGCCAACTTGATGACAAAAATCTCCCAGGCAGTCCCGCATTTTTAAACTAATATTAGCCTAAAGTCATAAAAAAATTCTGCTCATTAAATTTAAAACAAAGTTTTTAAATCTATTAAACTAAAAAAATTACAGTCATAGGGAAAAATTATGGAAAGAGGACGTTCTTTTAAATCCATACAATTTCTGTTAGGTTGGATAAACTCATTCTTCGTATGTCCTCGATTGGCTTCGGCAGCTTTCGTCTTCCTTTTTCAAGTCTAATCCGGACACTTTTGGCGCAATATTGAAAAGACGCATAAAAGGAAATTCCATTTCTCTAATAATATATACTTCCTCACCACTGCTCACAGCCTTATCCGTGAACACGTTTTGAGCAGCTGCCACTGGCACGCACATAAAAAAATCTGAGTTCTCTCCATTTTGAGCACATTTGGATAAATTAGCGTGGATCATTATGCGCATTATGCATTATTTAAACCTTTTAAAACAAATTAAATTGTTCATAAAATATTTAAAACAGAGCTCCAATTTTTTTCTTTAGAAAAGATGGAATTCTTAAACTAATAGTGAAAGCTGATTTTTAATTAAGTCATAAAATCCATAAAATAACTCAAATCGATCCAAACAAAAATTGTGTAGGTGAAATAAAAAATCACAGCAGGTTCATATCATGACTTTTATTGATGTGATGGTAACAAGCAACATTGTCATGTCAATAGTTCATTCTTTTTGTGACGTTGCAGCACCACCGTTCATAATTTCTTTAATTTTTCATTAATCCTTCATGTCATACAGATAAGCTTCCAAACCTCAATAGTAATGCAGTACAAAAACAAATCAGAGCCAATAAGAATTATAATGGATAATAATATTCCCATTCTTTCTTTTTTATAATATTTTACTTGTTTGCGTTAAGTGTGTGATTCATTTAAAAAGTGACTCTTGCAACATGATTAAAATTTACTTTGATAAAAACCAACCCTGTTGGGTCATTGGATGGGTTGTGATTTATTACGCGGAGCACCTCCTCCTGAATTAAAAACGAAAAACCTGAAGTGTGTCATTTTTTGCTCAATAATAATATTATAATAATTCATATTAGCCTGGGCCAGGTCCAGTATTAGAATGTGTCGCAGTGATTCCTTTTTCGTCGTTCAATTTTCATTATTTGTGGGGGGGGGGGGGGGGCAATGATTGAGTTTCATTGTTCCAAAAGTGTTTTGTAGTGAGTGTATGTGTGTAGTTTAGGTGTGTGTGTGTGTATGTGTGTCCGTGAAAAATAATTAACAATTGGCAGCGGCGGCAGCAAACACTACATACAATGTTCTCCGTTTTTTCATCTTCTTTTTAGTTATTACATTTACACTATGTACAAAAAACAACCTATCTTCGTTGCAACGAAGAATGCACGTCAATCATAATTTACAATGACAGCCACCATCATTTCAAATCTCATCTTTTTTTCTTTAAATATACAAAAAGTGTGTATTTTGAGTGGCGATTCTCCACCGGGCGGCGTTCTCAACGCCGCCCGACGCCTCGTTCACATCTTTGGACAGAGACTAGTAAGTGAATCGTAATGATAATCATAATAATAGCCTTAATATGAGTTTCTTGTTGTGCTCCTCTTTTGCCGTTTTGTCTTTAAAAAATCATCAATCGATCATCAACTACACGCTACGCAAGTGTAAGAAGAAGTAGCACACTCACAGGAAAGACAATTGCACATAAGCTATGGACACAACATTCAAAATTATATGAGAAATTTGTTTCGGGGCACGCAACGCAATTACAGTGCTGGCACGTAGGTAGTACTCGTAGTCTATTATCAAAAAATCTTGCCGTATTTCGCGAAAATGAGGCAAAGTCACAATGAAATACGGGACTTTTGAGTGCTTGCAGTATTGGAATGTGCATGTCAACTTTAACTAATTAGAAATTATATCAGAGCAACCAACGCAAAATAAATATTAACATCACTTTGTATAACTGCTAAACCATAAAAAAATTGTGGTCCTTTTTTCAATAAGTTAATTTGTTCTCAATCTGGTTAAACTCTGATAAAATAACGATTTATAATATCACTGTGTTTTCCCAACACAAATGTAAATGAACAAAATTATCACAAAGGAATGCTTCTTACTCGGGAATATAGGCAAAACGAAATAATGCGAGAGCTAACAGAGGCCTTATAATTATCTCATTTGGACCAGTGAAAACCCACTCACACCAGTTCTCTTTTGAAATATGAAACACACATGGATTCATTTAAATTTTGACTGAAAAACTGAGCGGCGTTAACAAGAAATAATGATTCAGCGTCTCTCATTCAAAAGCTCTCCAACTGAATAAAAAACAACACCTCCACTCCAAAGGCAAGAATCATGAATAAATCTTTTAGTATAAACTGGTAACAACAGCTGCATCGAGTACAGATACGAGTCTTCATTAACCAAGTTTGCCTCATTTTGTTGCAATAATAATTTTTAGTTTGTTATAGCAATAGAAAAGTCAATGTTTGATTTGAATCGTGCCTAATGAATTACTGTGACGCTAAGTATTTATTTTTCGTTTTTTCTTTCTTTCATCATCATCATGTATTTTTTTTAATCTTAAGAAGCCATCAGCCAACGTAAACTGGATGGAATTGTAGCATTCGGACAGGATTTGTTCTTAGGCATTGCTCGCATTGTGACGTGTAGTGCTTTTGATTGCCTTGCAGCTCTGTTTTAAAACACCTTGGCAACTGAACCGACCGTCATCTCATCCCTACATACATTGTGCTGTGCAGACCCTTGATTGGTGGCAGCCAAAAAAGCTTGTTCTCGACTTAGTGTGTTTTTTTCTCTTGGAACAGAACGAGGAAACGATAAATGCAGGGGGTAGCTTAAACTGCACCATGGGAATGCACGGTGAGCCCATTTTCTTAATCTGCTTAGTTAAATGGTGCGAGGCCACCTTAGCTGCTGGTGGAGGCCATTGGCGAGACCGGCGAAATCGGGCTGCGGCTTGAGTCCCTCATGCACCCGTTCAGGGTCACCAGCACTTTGCGGGAGCCTGCGTGGTTCCGATGCTCACACAGCCAGATGCCCTGCCAGGTGCCCAGGTTCAACTTGCCGTCCGTGATGGGGATGGTCAGAGAGGAACCCAGGAAACATGCCTTTACGTGGGCCGGCTAAAATTGAAGGAGACAAACAAATTCAGGCTTAGTGAGCAGCTCCAAAGTAAAATTATAATAAGTACCATGTCGTCGGGACCCTCACAAGAATGGCGATACGGCATTCCCTGAAACAATCATCAAGGGGCAAGTTAGATTAAATTTTAAAATAAAATTGCATTTAAGAAAAATTATTTAAAAAAAATTATAATATGCAAAAAGTTTCAAATTGAAATTTGCATTAGGAAAGGATTATTGCAAAAATGTTTTTTTATTTTTTTATTCAATATTCCTATTTTCCATAACTTGTAAGATAAAATATATTAAATTATTAATAATATTATACATAAGTAATTCTGCATTGAAGGAGGAAATCTATACAATTTTTTAATTTAAAAAGAAATTGATGATCTTTTCTAAAAGGGATCAGCGCACAAATTTTTATTAGCCTCCAAGTCGCTACAAGTATTATGGTCATTTTTTAACTGTGCATTAAATACATATTTTAGTAAAATATTTATTATTATAAGAAATGTTTTAAATTTAAGTGTTTTTAAAGGGTTCACTCACTTTTACTGCATGAATGCAGATGAAAATTTAAGGGCGTGAAATTTTTTCCCTTTTAATGAGAAAAATTGTCACTGCAATTAGAGTCATAAGACTAGTGCAGAAGGCACTCTTTCCAAAAAGACCCGCAGCTAATCAGGCCAGTGCTTACCTCAGGCACTATCTTATTCAGCATCATCTCCATGTCATCCCTGCAACCAAACAAACATGATTCGTACAAATGGAACATCTCAGTGAGGCGAACCCGCAAAAATTCTAGCCCTAAGTGGCGGTTTTAATTTTAATCAATCGAATCAAGTCTCACCTGACATCAGGGTCCCAACTTTCGTTGAGTGCCAGGCTTGCGGAGGTGTGCAGAACTGCAAAAACACATAAGAAAAAGATAGGGTTAGCGAATGGTGTTGCGGTTGAGGCGCCGGGAAACGCTCACTTTGTACATGGAAGAGTCCCACGGAAAACTGGCAGAGCTCGGGGATGGGCTTAAGGATTTCGTCAGTGACCAAGTGGACACCTCGGTGCTGGGGCCGCAGGTTGATTTTGCGCTGCAGCCACGCCGAGCCCATTTGAATGTCCCTGTTGGACGAAGCCATGTTGGCGTGACCCGAAGACCGACTCAGGATGCGGCCGTTTTTGTCACTCTTGTCAACGCTAAGACCACAATCGGCGGTCGCTGAGCATGTCTGTCAACACCACCGCACTACAGACGCATTTTTGGCCTTCCAGCCGCGAGATTTGTTCCGAAAACGGGCGTCTTTCTCCACACAACCAGGCGGAATCTCGTCTTTTGGGCTGTTCTTCCAGATTCCCCGCCAGATGGCTCCACCGTCGCTGCCGTAAAATAACAAAAGCGGCGCGAAAAGCTCCTCCGACTTCTGGCGTCTTGCATTTGAAATTTGAATCCCCTGCTTTTCCGATTTTCCACGCCACGGACTGGCCTTAATGGGCGATTTGTTGCAGAGCACCGTGGAAAATGTCGCCCTGTCGCTGATCAGGGAGTTTCTATCCACCAAGGTAAAGCAAATTCTGCCGAGAACGGGTGAAATCGGGCTGTAAACTGGCCACTCGCACACAAGCAATTTTAAGAATGGAATCTTCCACGTGCGCGAATGCGGCAAAAATTGCTGTTGATGCAGTGCAGATAATCAATTCTGTGCTCCCGTACGTAAGTGACAAATAAATCATCCGTCCTTGGGCGAGACGTGTTCTAATTTGAATGAGAGAAATAGAAAGGGCCATTCAAAAATAACATTCTGCTATCATAGTAAATGTGTGGTATCGCGAATTATGAATGGTATTGATCAAACAAGCCAGAGCTGCCGCGTGCCCCCGTGGCCCGCGCAATAAAAACAATGTGACACGGCATTGTAATATATAAGGCTGCTGCGGCCCAGAGGTGGAACATCTTTGGCACACTTGTGACCAAAATTGGATTAAACTTGTCGTCGAAGGAGCGGTATGAAATATTCATCAATTAGCGTCAAGTGCCCCGTTTGCGAGAAAAGGCTTCATGCGGATTTACACACTCGGCTTTTGTTTGGCCAGCCAGTTTTGCCGCTGCGCGCCTCAAGTGCTATAAATTATAAAGTTGAAATTTAGAGCACCAACAAATGCTCTGGCATTTGATATAAATGAGGACTTGACAAAAAAATTCTTTCCTTTTCTTCGCTCTTTATTATATCATATGCAGCTAAAAATTTAAATTAATTTAAGAAAATAATTATTCTTAAGAAAAACTGATGATTCAAACAATAGAGATTTTTAAATAAACATAACATAATTTTTTTCAATAAAAAAAAAATTGTCGCAGGGCTTCCATTCTGTTCTCCTTAACATGGACGTGGAGATTCCGAGAGGTCCAAACTCAATCAGCAGCAGACATCTGTTGTCCTCATTATTGGGTCTCCAGCGACCGGCTAAGGGAGAGGGAAGCATTCTGGAAACGCTGGTCACAAAAACCCTAGGGAAAAAAGCCAGCACGCTTTTTGCAAATAAAATAAACGCATCAAACACTTACAGGGAAGAGAAGGAAATTCTGGAACTAACAGATGTCAATGAAAAAATATCACTCTCAGGTGCTAAAATTAAAATATTTCTTAAATTCTAGAGCGGTTTGAAAAAAAAATCATAATTAATTTATACCAATATAATTTTAATCAAATTGTTTTATTTATTTATTTATAGCGTCTTCACTATTAGTTTTAAATGAAATTGAAGAAGTCGATGATGATACTGAGTCAATGCCAATTAGTGAACCAAGTAGTAGATCAGAAAAATTAGGAGCAAGCAGTTGTGAAAGCGCAAGTGGAAATCAGGTTGATAAAATTGAAGTCAAGCAATCAAATATTGACGACAGCAGCTTAAGTTTAACTGATGACAATTTAAAAGAAATTGAGACTGACCTTGTAGTGACCAATTTAGCAGACAATTTTGATATTGAGGTAAAAAAATATTACAATTTTGATGAAAAATCTTTTTTACATTAAATATTTTAGCAGACTCCAGAAACAGAAGGAATCAATGAAACAGTCGACAGCTTGGAAGAAAGTTGTGATAAGATGAATTGTGAGATGGAGTCGACAACAGTTGAGAAAACAAAAGTGTCAAATGCACCTTTGCCAAAGGAAGAGAAAATAATATTCTCCCAGAAACGGCTATTGAAAGTGACAACACTGCCAGAACCAAAGTTAAAAAACGAATCTGTCAATACTCCAAGCGACACAATGGAAACTACGGTTGAAAAAGAAATGCCGGAACTGGAAAAAGAAACCGATACAGCACCTCCGCCAGAAGAAACTTGCTCTCGCCCTTTGACCCTTCCATCGGCCATGGAGCTTAAAAGCGTCCTTCTTGGAACACCTGAAGGCCAATTTTTTAAGGAATGGAAAGAGAGACAATTATTTATACCCGGCGCCGACGGTCTCCAAAATTTCGAGGTTGAACATTAAGATAAAAAATTCAAAAATCAATCATTTAATTTTTAGAATGGAATTAATGGAATTCTGGCAGTGGTTCAGGGTTTTATTTCAAAAGAGGTAACTTTCTGCAGGGTTGATAAAAAAGAGGAAGCCTTTATTCGGGCCGTGTCGGAAATCCTATGGCAGTGCGGCCAGAAGAGCAGAGCCTGTTTAGCAATGTGAATATTTATTTCAGCTATTTTTAATCAAAAATTAAAAAGATATGTATTTTCAGTTGCGGGGAAGAAGAACGTCTCGTCGGTTGCGGTCGCTACAGGAGAGACGGGATTACGGAGGCAATGATTTTGCTGCATTTCAACTCGATGGAGGACACCGCGGCAGGAGTCGAACGGCACGTGGGACAGCTGAAGGCTCCAGGTGGCCTGCTTTTGTTAGTCGCCTCCCTCGTCTTATCAAAGGGACTGTAAGTCTACACATGCTTGCAACGGCCGGATATCTCATTCACACACACACACACACACACACACACACACACACACACACACACATGCGCTCCCCAGCCGATATAATATATGAAATATACACGATTATACCTCTGTAAATAAAAAATGAACCTTTGCAGCGACGAGTTCAGGGGTCGGCCTCCATTGTTGAGCCGCGCAAATGTTTCCCTGGTCAATCTGGCCCTGACAGGAAGACTCGACATGAGGGAGGCGAAACAAAGGGCGGAGATCGGGCTTTTGTCCCTGGCGGAACACTACGGCCACATTAGGGTGCGACACGAGAGACGGCGCGCACGTGCCTATTTTTACTTTATTTCCACTTTTTTTTCCCTCGCAATTCATAATTCACGATTCGATCCAGGTGCCTTCGTGCTTGAAAACGCCGCGCTGGCCCATTTGGGTGGTGGAATTGGGACCAGATAAGTACTCGGTCATTTTGTCCGTCAACCCGAAACTGGTGGCCGACTGGAGGGCCGAACTGGCATTCCGCCTGCAGATCCTCGACGGCGACGGAATAAAAAATGCCGCGATAAGTAAAATGATTTAATAGGCCTTATCGGCCCGCGTTCGTGTTTGTATGTAAATATAATAATGTCGCAGCGACCGGAGGCGAGTTGCACGAAGAGGAAGAGAAAACTGCCTCTTATTTGGAGATGACGATCAGGACCAAGTGGAGTGGCGCTCAAATCCAATGGATTCCGAAATAATGTAGCAAAAATACTGCCAGCAAGTGATTATTTAATGTAGAATTTAGATTTTACACAATTCCTATTCATTCTAGTCAATTGAAATTTACACCTTTGTCAAACATTTACAAATAAAGTATGAAAAATTTGAATTAAACTTTTATTGAAGAGTTTATTTGAATGGTTTAATGTAAAATAAATAATAATCTTTTTAATTGTTTTACTTATTATTTGAAAATAATAACTTCCTAAAAGAAAATTTGATTTTTGAATCGATCATTTTTCAAAATTATTTTTCAGCCACGAGGCGCACAAATTATTGTTACACCTAGCAATATACACAATAAAGAGCAGACTTTCAACAAAAAACCACTAGTAAAAACTTATCAAGAAAATAAATTTATCTTCTAAAAAATTAACTATTGCTATTCAGATTTAAAAAAAAATTAATCACAAATTAGAAACAACCAAAGGTTAAAATTATTGTTTTTTTTTAAATTAAAATAATTTCATGCCACGACAGTTTCTGTCAAGTTGCTATCCTCAGGTACCATCGCCGATCTTTTCCGCATCCTGAGCGTGATCAGTGCAGCCTCAACAAAATCCGCCAGCTTTGTCCCAATGGTTCGCTCTCGCGGAATGTCTTCGATAGTCATTCCTGGTAGAAAAACTTCAGTTTAATACCAAATTTAATTACTGTGTTTCATCAAGAATCAACCTGCCAGAAGGTCGCTGGCTTTTCTGTAAGTGGCGGACCGAGCTGAGCTGACGGATCCTATTGAAATTGCCTCGGACTGCGCCACGCTCTCCGTGTCCGACTTGAACTCTGCCCTGACTCGATCGAGCGCCCTTTTCAGGTCCATCTCGTCCATATCTGCGTTTTGGATGAGCCGAAGGTGACGACGAAACTTTCTAGCGATTTTCTTGCGAACGTAATCAGCTTCGATTTCTTCCTTGGTGCGCGGAATTCGAAAACGCACGCAGCAGCATAAAAAAATTACTGCCAAAAAATTAGTTTTTACTTTTACAATTTTGATGTTAAGCGTTTATTAAGATAAAATATTATGAAAAAAAAATGACAAAAATGAAAATTTATAATAAATTTTTAGTAAAAACTAATAAATACAAATTATAAGACATATTATTTAACTTTATAGTGAAGTTTGTTTTTAATATTAATTAAAAAACTAATTAATTTAATATCTCTACCATACATACCATTTAATTAAAAAAATAGAGCAATAAAATTTCAATTTTAGCATTTAATATTTAATTAAATTACCGATAAAAGCAAAGGCAGCAGTAACCCCAGACACAACTTGCCAAACCTTGAACTGGCCGATGGCCGGCATGTCGAGCCATTCCGGAGTGTCGCTGGACAGAGCGGTGCTCACCTGACGTTAATGACAAACAAATAAATAAATAACGAGCGGTAGACTTGTTGTCTTTTTGGTAGGAAAACTCACGGACGGGGTTGACGAGGAGATTGTCGGTGTGCAAACACGCGGCGCCATCGTTACAACAAAACTGGACTGGCAAGTGCATTTTTTGGAGGTTGCAACCACACCCAGCACTACTTGTTGGTCACGCGATGCAGAAGGGTGTGGTGCCCCGTGAGCAAGGGTGGCTCGGGGTGAAGGTTAATTCGCGCCGAGATTTATGTTTTCACTCCGAGCATAATAATTATATGACATTTCGGACGAGGCGTGTAGAATCAAAAAACGAAATCAACGGAGGTGTAAATCCTCTATATCTGCTTTATTTATTTTGCCTCGGGCATTATTTTTCACTTAACGCGTCGATTTGCGGACAAAAGGCTTTGATTCGAGATCATTGGCACGAGATTGCTCCAAATTCGTTCGCGCTGATAATTTTCCCACTTGCTAGAAGAAAGAAAGAAAGCACCGACAAAAAAGTTTGAGCAGCGCGTTGGTGCGGAAAGTTAGCCGCCGCTGTCACCATATCGTACCGCAGGGAAAGTGCGAGCAGCTCCACTTTATATAAAAGCCCGCAGTCACCAACTCATCACAAACCACCATCATGCACTCCAAAAAGGTTAGACCCTGGATTTTAAACTTTTACACGTTTTACTAATTCAAATTCAACAGATTTTGATTGCGTTCTGCGTACTGGCCGTTGTGGCCATCGCCAAGGCCCAGGGACTAGCCGAAGAGGACATGGATGACACCCAGCATGTAAGATTTTACTTGATTTTAATTAATTTTTTTTAAAATATTTGAAATTTAAATGAAATTTTGATTTTAAATTTTGCACTGAATTTATTTCAAATTTTTAATTCAGGAGGGCGACGGTCGATATGCACGAGCTGCGTATCACCATGAGGGCGGAAGTGGAGGCGGTGGTGGAGGCAGTGGTGGAAGTGGCGGTGGATCTCCAAACGGCGGCCACGACGACGAAGTCGAGTACGGAGCACACACCGGCGAGAAAGGTGCTTTCGAGTGGCACGCACACTACCCAGTTGGACATCACTGATCCAAAATCATTTTTAAAATTATGATCTCATTTTCCAGTTTTTGTTGCCTGATAATTAAACTTAAAAAAATTCTCCCTGCATTTGGATGTTTTACTTTCAATAATCAAATAAGAATAAGTTTAAGTGACATTACATTCTTTTATTTTTTTATTTAATATATCACAAATAACTTGAGTTAGCAACTACTTTAAATCAGTTACTCAAATTTACTCAACGGAGAATCCCTGTCACGACACACTACACATGATGATATTATACAAAAATAGTGCCCAAATGTAAAAATTAACCTAAAAACGTTGCTGCGTGCAAGCAGAAGTAAGCGACGTGGGATAATTAATATGAGACTGGTTCGGTAACCTGAATGATAAATAGTGCCAAAAATTGATATAATAGCAAGTTAAAATTAGGTAAAATCATGATAGTGAAGAAATACAATACAGACGCCTCGTTTCAGTCGAGCGTGCCCCACAAGGGCTGCGTGTGCGCTTGATTAAGGTAGAACTAATTTTTTTCACTGACCGTGGGATGGTTGGGGGACAGCACCGGAGGCTTCTGGCAAGCCTGCCAGTGTTCTCGCTGGGCCTTCCAGTTTTCTGTTAGCTTCTTCTTTGCTTCCTGGTTGCTGGCCTTTTCCAAAAGCTTCTGCAGGGTGGTGTAAACGCCGACTGCACTGATCAGGCCAAAGTCGAAAAGCGAGGACATGTGCACAACGAAGTTTCGGAAAAGGTTCTTGGCAATGATTTCCTCACCCTTGACCTCGATGAACATGTCAACGGCCAAAGGGATCTGGCAGTCACCAACATAGCTGAAATTCAATAATAATCAAAATATGAATTTACCAAACAGAGAAAATTAAATTACCCTTGTTTCATGACATGCAGATTCCACATTTTCATGAGCTCTTTTTCGCCTTCATTGACATCTGTGAATTCGTCAATCATCATCGTTGTCTTCTTCTGCAGCCAAGGCGGGTCGTATTCTTCCTCGGAGTCTTCGTCCATTTCCTTAGGAAAAATCGGTAGGCAAGTCTCGGTATGGTGATACAGTCTGTAAACATTATTAATACTTGTATAATAAAAAGAACATAATTAAATAAGAGCAAAATTTGATAAAAATAAATAAATCATGATAACAATTTCTAACCTTCAATTCAAAAGAATTTAAAGGTTACAAACAGGATGCAAAAACAAAATAAAAGTACCGATTGTGGCCAGTGGTGAAAGACCTTTGGTTTTCAAAGTCAGGATCATCTGGCTCCAGGAACTCCATCATATTCTGCGCTTGTCTTTTTGGTCTGCACACCAGCACATTGGTGATGCTGGTCCTCCTCACTGGACCGTCACGGCTGAATGCCAGACCAGGAGGCTGTGCAATCACATCAATGGCGTTGCCGGAATAAGAGCCATCAAAGTACTCGTTAATGCACACGTCGATCCTTGTTGCATCAGGAAGCGGCTGCAATTTAACATCAAATTAACAATTTATGAAAAATTGAAAATTAAACTTCTTACGACATAAGTGAAACAGAAGCGGGGATGGTTGAGTTTCAAGTGTTTCAGCAGGGCATACAGCGAGCCGCAGTTTAAGGAGCACCAAGGGCAGTGGAGGTCGTCACAAGCTTCTGTTTGCTGACGGCTGTTGTTATTGTAAAGGAACTGGTAAACTATTTGCAACTTTTGTCCTTCTTTCTTCTTGTTACTAGAGGCACTTGCGTTTATCTGTCCGTCTGTCGTAAAAATGTGTGGTTTGTAAAAATGATAATTTCTGGCATTTCTGGTTGTTGATCACTACCTGAAGTTGGGGTGTCGTTCTCTTTGTCTCCGGTGCTCTCTGTTGAAGGGGAGGATTCAAGCATCCGTGGCCTTTCGACCATTCCACTGCTAGCCTCACTTGCCCAGTTAAGACGAAACTTTACAACAGGACCTGATCTAAAAAGCTCTAGCTGGCCAGACCCCTAAACAATCAAAATTATGCTTCAAATTTTTTGAAAATATATATCACAATAAACTCATTAAATTTTTAAGCAAGAATAAAAAAAATCAATAACCATTCGATTTGGAGATCCAGATTTTACATTCAAACCCTGCATTCAAATTTGTTATTTAAACATTTTCAATCAATTATTATTTAAGTACCAGTGCCGAACGCAGTCTGATACATGTAGGCCTTCCAGGGTCCAATAAGACGACCCACTTTTGAATTCTCCCTTTCTTTTCATTAATTATCAACAGGTTATTAAAATCCAAAGCCAATCCAACTAACCTTATTAAGCTCCACAGGAACTTCCAAAGCATTGTCCCACGTGTTGACCCTGCCTTTGGACGTCCGGGTGGGCACTTCAAATTTCTTCAAGGCCAACTCGTAATCACCAGCCACTAAATTGCAGTGATTGTTTTTGTCGAAGAGCAAAAGTTCAGCTGTGTAAATGTTTTCGTCGTCCCTTCGGCGCCTCTTCGCTGCAGGCTCTATTATATAACCAAATATCAAATTAGTCACTTCAAAATCAAGTTGATGGAAAGCTTAGGACACATTAAAAATTTAGATAAAAAAAATAATATTAAAATAATTTGTATAAAAAACTGACCTCCATTTTCCATCTCGACGGGCAGTTGAGGCATGTTGAGCGCCTTAAGCATTAGATTAAACGACTTGGCCAGGTTGTTGTTGGATCTTGTGAAAGAATCGGTTGGAATGGACACTGTTGGCGCCTGTGTTGGAGGGTGCTCCTCGCTGGGATTGAGAGGCACCTGGCTTTCTCCTAGCACCACCTGAAGACTCGGACACGTCACATCTTTCCTCTTCTTGTGGCACACCTTGTGCAAAATTGTCTCCAGATTTACCGGTTCACAATCACCATTTACTAAAAAAATTTACAATTAAAATTTTTGATTTAATACCTTGCATAGAAAATTAAAATTTTGAATTAAAAGTCGGCACATGAAAACTTAAATTGGTTTTGGCCCATCACAGATGTAATGAGCAATTTGATTATCCTCACATTTTTTATCATAGATCCCGAGGAAGGTGATGGTCATGAAGTCTGCCATTGGGGCTGCTTCCTTCTTCTTGTTGGCTACCACCTGGGCCAAGATGTTGTTCACCTTGAAGTCCTTGCGGCCCTTGTGTGAGCGAGACATCCGCGACTTCATAAACGACAGCGTCCTCGGCAGGAAAATCGCCTGCAATCAAAATAGAAAAAGAGTCAAATTCGCTAAAACTAGGGTTTTTGCGTGCGAGGAACTCACCGAGAGCTGGCTGCGGGTCTTGAGGAACCGGTAGATCTGCGTGGGCTCTGAAAGCAAGGCCATATTCAATTAAATCGTGTTTTGGGTCAATTAGGGCCCGTCTTTCAGGGCGCTACTCACTCTCGAAGGCCTGCAGGAACAGCTCGTGGTTCATCTGGTCCATCTGGACGCTCTTGGCCGCGCTATCATTGTCCTTGTCCCGCTTTTTCGGAGGCATGTTTGCTGAAAAGACAGAATTTCGGACGCTCCTTGCCCCACTCGCAAACAAAAACTTTTGCCGTCTGTCTGGTCGACAGCGCCGGCGGGAACAGCGGCAACGCACGAACTGACGGACGCTCACCTAACTGACGTCACAAACGGCGCCAAACTGGATCAGCATTAGAGGAACTTTTTCTTTTTTTTTTCTTTTTGGATTAAATATATATATATAAATTAATTATGTATAATGTAATATTTCCATAAACCGTCCTTGAGGCATCACCAATTTTCCACAAATTTTGGTATAAAAAATTCGTGTCGCTGTCCATTTTTTATATTGCAATGTCCAAATTGATAAAATAAAAATTAATAGTGCATTTTGTTTATCTCAAATCAGGTGTTCCGCAGGGGTCAACCTGAGTCCCAAAAGTAATTTGCATTAAATTGGGCTAAAATGAAAAAATTTAAACGATGGTGCACCATTTGAATTTTTTTTTAGAAATTCATCTTCTTATTTGGCTGATTTGAAACGCGATTGTTGATTCAAATTTTTAAAAGCACACACAAAATAAATTCAAAAGTTGGATTGTTGGAACCGCGTCGATTGTTGAAACACTTTTTCACCGTTCAAAACGTTGAGCCTCAAATTTTTGAATTTTTTTCGCAGAATCAAATACTTTCAACATGGATCAAAACATCGCCGCGCCGGCCGCCCAAATCAACCGCGTGAGTTGCTGTTTTTCCCATATTTTGCATATAAGTCTCTAAAATTGTGCTCGCAAAGAGAGACGTGTGTGATTGCGAACCTTGAAAAAAATCTTTGATAAAATTCGCAGCGCTTCTTGAGAACAGTTGGCCTGAAACCAAAGACTTTGCGTCTCTTGAAAAGAAAGAATCGTGCCCCGGCAGCTTGGGAGTTGAAGCGGATCCCAAAAATGGAGCTCCAGCAAATCCTGAAACAAAATGGCCAGACAATGAAGACCTGCTGGAGTAAGAATTTTTTGAAAAGTATACTATTTTGTATTTATTTTTGAAACTGCGCAGACAAAAGCAGGTTGTCGGAGGTGGTCTGCCTGTTTCTGGCCAACGTTGACAGGATCAACGCGCCCCCGCCCGTGGAGGCGGCACCGGCTGAGCAACCGACCTGCTTTGTATGCCGCAATGACCAGCCCGAGTTCTACTTCATCCGGTGCGGGCACGTCGGTATTTGCGGCGGTTGCCGCGACCTCCTCGTTGGACATCACTGGGACCGACGTTGCCCAATGTGTCGGCTGCCGCACCGACTGGAACAAGTGCAGCCTCTGAATATGCTTTAATTTCAGCAGACACAGCCAAAGATCGCGAAGTTTCACAAGATTATTTTGTTATTAATATAAAAAATGTTTTTTTTTTTTGTGTGGAAAAATTGATAATTTTTTAATATCAGATGAAACATAATAAACAAAATAAATAATGTGGTAAGAAGTTAAAACAGTCCATTAAATTGCTGCCAATGTATAGGTATAGAAAATCTTTTTACGGACGATATATTGATTTGAACAAAATTCTTTATAAAGAATCCATTCCAAAGTAACCAATTGCATTTTGGTAGCAAATTTTCGAATTATATTGACTGTATGACATATTTTCTAAATTCATTTAATTTAATATTTGCTAACGTGCAGTCAAATCTGATTTTATTCTATATTAAAAATTATTTATAAAAATATATTTTGTTAAAAAAAAAAACAAGTTTGTAGCTATCTGAAAAAAGTCGGTGAGTAAATTTATTGTAGATGCATATAATGCTTCCTACTTAAGTTTCCTGCTTAAACAACAAAACAAATAAAAATTTGCAAATTGGAGGTGTCAAAGCGAGGGGCATCGCGGCGCAGCGTGTGTCGAGCAGGTTGCATAAGCGTGCGCCTGTGCAGGCGGCGATCTGCTCCGCTGGTTGCTCGCCTCTCTTTTGCTCGTCGACACTCAACGCGGCATATCATATACGGACGTGAACAAGCCGCCTGTGTGTCGAGTGGTCCTTGTTGCAGTCAAGATGATTACCCCGGAGCAAGGGTCGTGATGGAGAAGAGCAGCACCCCGGCCGGCCGGGCAGGTGAGTTGCAACTTTTCGTGTTTGCCTTGATCTGAGGAGCAAAAATGTGCGTTTCGTTCAAAATTTTCAACAACGTTGGGGATGCTGGAGAGAAAGCAGGGTGTGCGTTTCCTCGTCCCCGCTGGAGCCGAGTTGCACGGGATATTGATCGCCAGCATCTCTCGCTCGCGCACCAGATGCGATTTCGTTTGGGGTAACAAGTTGGGAGAGAATTATTGTTCCTTTCCTTTGCAAAAGGGAACATAGAAGACTAGGGTTGGTTTTGGTGATTAATTTGACATCGAGATTGGTAGTTTGCTCGTCTTTGTTTGGATTAGCGGCACAGTGCGGAACGCCTTTGGTAAATTTTACGCCGACTCGATTAAAGGTCAAGTGCTCTGGAGTTGACTAGTGTAATTTTTTTTTATACAAAATTGTAAATGTCAGCAAGTTGAAAAGTCGACATATAAAAAAGTAAAAAAATATTTTGATATGACAAATCTTGTTACTATTTATTACGTTCAGGACTTTTTAAATTTAAATTAAATCTGGCTAAAAATAGCTCCATAAAATATAGATTATTGGGCAAGATACAAACGAAACCTAACAAACTAGTATAAATAAAATTTCTTGATAAAAAATTATGGGTGTGATTTCTCTTTGCTATTAAAATAAAGAACTTAAAATAACTAAATTTCCTTTTATTGTAAAAGAGCATTGGCTGCATTGGAATATTTTCTGTTATCACTTTTTATCCGCCACATCAGTCACAGTAGCAGTAAAGTTTAGCTACCCAATCGTCGACACACCTTGATTGCGAACCGTATCTGTTAACCCTGCTGACGGTGTCGGCTACCTCATATTTAAGCACATTGTTGCGACCGCGGTGACGATAAGCCCTCACAGCCCCTTCCAGCAAGGCTCCACCAGGACTCGTCTCCACCGTCATGGCGTAATCTCGCAGTCCTGAAGTCTCTTCTTTCGGCCCATTTTCCGGCGCAAGTCCGACTCGGGCCTCCACAACCCGCAACTGAATACAATTTTTAATCAAAATATAAATTGCCACTGCATGCGAAATTTTCAAACCAAGGTTAGTTGCCGGCACTGAGGGTGTGGATTTAAGAACTTCTCGTTGATGTGCTCCACAAGGGCAAGTGCTGCGGTTTGCAGGTCAGGGTCATCTAGCGACAGGGGTTGATAGGTGAGACAGGCGCACCAGTGGCGCGGAATGTGCGCCGCTGAGCAATTCCTCCACTCAGGAATTCTAAGAAACATGCTCATTCCTCTAGGCTATTTTTTAATAAAAAAAATAATAGTAATAAAATATTTTGTTTTCGGTTTTACCAAAATATTCTCTTGGTCCAATTCTCTTTGGCGAGTAGCAAGTTCATTTCTATTGAGGGTGTTGGCAGGATCAATGAGGTCTTTCAGGGTGAAGTGCAGATCATAAGGGGTAGTCAAACGGGCGTGAGCGTTCTGCTTGAAATTGGCAATCGCCTCCGGAAATTGAGATTCAAACCAGGGCGGAAAAATGAATGACAAAAACGGGAGGCGCTCTTCTAGACGTCCCTATTTAAATTTAGAAAGTTACTTTAATCCACATAATTGAATATATTATTTTTACTTGTGGATGAAGACGAAAGTCTCCAGTCCTGACGCCGTGGTCACTGAGCACCACTAGCACCGTCCTCTTCAGGTCGCCGCGGGCCCTGAGGTTTTCGATGGTGGTTGACACGGGCTCATCCGCCAGTGCTGCCATGTTGAGGCCGTCGTGGGTCAAACTGGTTGCCCACACGAAAGCAAAGTACCTTTGCAGGGCAAAGCGGCTGGCGAATTTCTGTGCGTAGTTGAAGAGCACCGACATCTGCGACCGAGGCCCTTGACAAAGTACGCAGTTGTCTGCATGCGTGTGTCCGACTTCCTCCTCGGCGGCAATGAATAGGGGTCGGGGGTAGTAATCGGTTGGTGGCTCAGCAAAACCTCCTTTCTAAAATAATATTGGAGATATTTTTTTTTATTCTTTCAAAACCTTTAATAGATGTTTTTTTCGATTAAAATGTTATTTACACAAAATTTATATATCATTTCATATTTTATTAAATTTCTATTGATTATTTTGTCGGTATTTTGCGAACCTGAAAGTTAAAAGTTGTGAGATGCGTGCATTCCTCCGCCAGCATTGTTCGGAAACCCATTTCAGAGAATGTGCGCCATAAAAAGGGACACTCGTCAAACTTTTCCATGTACGCTTTTGAAGCTTCGGGCCAGCCGCAAACTTCGTTTAACTCTTCCACGGACTGTCCGATCAACACTGGGACCAAGTTAGGGAATGTGTTGTCGGCAACTTTGTTGTAGCCCAAAAGAGTCACGGCAGACATTTCATTGAGAATTCGAATTGTTTTAGGCCACAGGCGCTCAGCATTCAGCCTGGAGACGGAGTCGATTCCCAAAATGAGCACACTTACCTTTAAAAACAATTATAATTCAATATTTGAATTTTCTTCATACATATACCATATTATAAATCTTAAATAATAATTTTCTTGTTCTAAAGACCATTAAAATTGATAAATGTGCTATTTTTTTTTAATAATTATTAACAAATTCTTTTTTGTTAATTTAGTTAATTGATTAAATCTCACTTCATTTGGTCTTTTCGGCATTCCATTGCACCTGTCCTCCACCTCGCTCTTCACTGGTACAAAAAACCTGTAGTCAACGTACTCGTCGTTGACCCATTCTTCATCCTTGCCTGGTTTTTTGCATGAAATCCGAACAAACTCAGGCACGTCGTCGCCCCTGATCTCCATCGCGCTCTCCGGCATCAAAAGCTCGTCCATCGGTCGGCAATCTTCGCTGAATCTACAAGTTGCATCCTTTATATCACTGCTAACAGTTGCACTTTTTCAAGTACTTTATATTGCCGTCGTCCTTGGACCTTCTGATAATGTGCCTGTAGCAGCATTCTAGACCTTTGGGAGGTTTTGAGGGCACAGAACTCTTCTCAACGTAATCCTCGTCCAGTGCTCTCGAAACACGATAATTACCTCGCCTAGGTACCCAAATTATTTATATTTCTTTCAAATTAACAGATCAATTTTTACCATTATTTTTGCTACCAATTTATACTAAAAAATAAGACAATAATTTTAATCCAACATACTTTTTGGAGCAAACTAAAGGTTCGGGTTGTTTGACGTACTCCCTTGCGCTGGCCGAAAACGCTTTCAGGTCCAAGATTTGACAGCCGCTCGCATCAACAATGAATTTCTCTACAGCGTCCTTTTTCTTCGTCACTTGATTCCTGACCGTCATTGTTCGTGCCCTCTCGAGGGCGTTGAGCAGAAACCCCAAGACTACAAAAAACCCCAGCAGAGCTGCGAACTGCTTTCGTTGGCCCCGCAGCATAATTGCAACTGAAAGCATTTTCTTTGCGCTTCATACACGCGGAGCGAGGTCATCGGTGCTTATCCCGTCAACCTTTGACACACGATATTAGCTGAACATTGCAAAAATTTTGATTAATTATAAATCAACGTGTTTCTTGATTAACCTACTTCATGTAAAATAATATAATTTTAAATTCCTCTGAAAGTTAGGAAGTCTAAAAAAGCATTTTATTTCTAATTTTTTATTCAAATCAATCAAATAAATTCCAAAGTAATTTATTTCTTGTTAAATTTATCAAAAATACATCATACAAATTAATCAAAAATACATCAAAGCAAATGATATAATTCATACATATTGAATAGCGCAATAATTACTAGAAAAAAATTGAATTTCATAAATATAGCAATAAAAATTGAAAGGAAAAATTAACATACAATTTTGTTGTTAACAATTTATTTGTTTTTCAAACGGGTTTCCTTAATCCTTAATGTTCTTTGTACTATGCTGCTTTTTTATGTTTTGATTACTTTATTAGTGCACAATATAAACTTATAATATTCTACACGGAACGAGGAAATTCGGTTATCACTTTTTTTAAAGATCAAATAAAAATTGAAACACTGAATGGCCGGAAGTCTTTCAGAAAAGCACACAGAAACATCATTCATATTGGTAACATAGATCCCTTTCCAAACTTTACTTAAATTGATGTTACTCAAACTCTCAAGTACTGTTTTGCAATATCGCAGGATTTTCAGTCATACGCACTTAAGCCCACACACTGCGAGCGCTCCAAATTCATGCGCGCGCTCTTGATAAAATAAGCAAAACCCCGTTCTCGTCAAGCACTACTCTCATATCTACACTAGTTCGTCTTCAATATGTCAGCAACGGAAATGGGCTCGACTGAATACTCAATATTAAAATGCGAATATCCAGAACATTTCTCTGAAAATCGCAATTACTTTGTGTCGACAGGAATGCCTGGCTGTCGGAAATGGTTCTTCGGGATGATGATTTTTGGCGCCGGAGCAGTCGTTTACCTGCTGCAGGGGTCCCCGAGCGATATCAGCAGAGAGATGGAGCAAATCTACACACACTCGGAAGCTGCAATAATTTCCATCACAAATGGTTGGTTCATTGAATTAATAGATAATAATAAGAAATCTATAAAAAAATATTGATTTTTTTTTTATTAATTTGAAATTACTTTTTAGAGACTGACTCTCCACCGAAAAGTAGCCTATTGTACGCACAAGACAACGCAACTCTAGGAATTTACCTAATAAATACTGAAGGTTGCAAAATTCCTGATATGCCCGTTAAAAACTCTATGATTTCCAAATTCACTAAAGATGTGCAACCAACGCCAGAGGTAATATTTTCATATATTTTATAAAAAATATCAACTAATTTTTTTTTAGTGTGACAAGGACTGGTGGCCGCTGCATGGTAAAACAAAAGCCAGAGGGCCAGCTTTGGTGCAAAGCGATCTGGATTCGTTGTACCTGGGTTCTTTAGCCAAAAATTTGAGTTGCTGCTACCGACCGTTCACCAGGGCAACACCTGGGACGCCTGGGGTTGACAACAAAGCCATGTAATTTTATGAAATAATTCACTGAAAATATAACAGGAATTTCTATTATTATATTATTTGAAAAATATTTATTGCTTTATTTTTCTTTTAAATATTGAACTTTCTACAAAATTTTAAATTATTTTATGATTAATTAACAAAAGTTTATTAAATTAATATTATTTTTAGCTACAGCAAAGAATGCATTCCTTTCAAAAACCGAGACCGCGTGAGTGACAATTATGAATTTGTGAGGGTAGAGTGCTACAACTCATCAAAGCGACCCGACTTGGTCTACAAAGACTTTCACGCTTTTGTTCCTCTTAAGCGCAACGTCGAAGAGCGATGTACTGATTCTGATTCAAGTAGAAACCAAGTAATTTCTTTAATTTTATAATAGATGGGAGCAATTAATCAGAAAATTAATTTTCTTCGAAGATAAGTGTAGCTGTCCTGGGCATTGACTCAGTGTCCCGCCTCAACATGCACAGGGAACTGCCGCTGACCTTGCAGACCCTTCAAATGGCAGGGGCAGTCCCTTTGCTGGGCTACAACAAAGTGGCAGACAACACGTTTCCGAACTTGATGCCTCTCCTCACTGGCATCAGCGAGTCGGACCTAATCAAGGGCTGCCCTTGGCCGGGCCCTGACCACGTGCTGGACGCGTGTCCTTTCATTTGGAAGGAGTATGCAATTGCAGGATACAGGACGGTCTATGCCGAGGACTGCACCTGGATGACCACTTTTAACTACGCCAAGTCGGGGTTCCTACACCAGCCCACTGATTATTACGCCCGACCATTCCTACAAGTAAAAATTTTTTTTTTAATTATTTCAAATAAAAATTTAAAAACAAAATATGATTGTGTAATATTTTTTTGTAATAGAATACTGAGGAACAAATCGGTCACCTAAAAAAGTGGAACGTCAAGCTCTGCTCTGGACCAAGGCTGACCATTAACAACATCCTTAGCTATGCTCAAAAAGTGTCTCAGAGATTTGAAAGTTCCAACTGGTTTGGACTCTTTTGGTCCAATTCAGTATCACACGATGTCTTGACCATGCCACACATCGGCGATAAAGCGTTTTCTTCGCTTGTGTCAAAGATCGACTTCAATCGAACGGCCCTTGTGTTCATCAGCGACCACGGAATGAGATGGGGACCAATTCGGGACACATATCAGGTTTGTGAAGGAATTTTTAATCAATAAAATTAATTGAGAACTAATATTTGTGCGCAGGGATGGCTGGAAAGCTGTCTGCCAGCCGCCTTTGTTGTGCTGCCTCCATGGTTTGAAACAGAATACCCTGAAGCAGTAAAGAACCTGCGGCTAAATGGCGCTGCAAGACTGACCACACCGTTTGACCTCCATGCAACCCTTCGAGATCTCATCAATCCAGACAAAAGTTTGCTCAACCCTTCCATCACTGCAAAGGGCATCAGCCTTTTTAGACCAATACCCGAAAACAGGACTTGCGAATCGGCCAGTATTCCAGAAACTTACTGCACATGTCAAGTTATTATGAAATAATTTCAATTAAAAATTAAATTATAACAAAAAATATTTCAGGCAAGTAAACCGTTGGAAACACGAAGTGTGCCCGACAAAGCAATCGAGGCGATTCTTGCAACTCTGAACTCGGCACTCATGTCAGCTCCCGAGTGCGCGCCTCTGACTCTGAAATATATCATTTCGGCTAGAGTGATGGGCCAACACCACTTGCAGTTGACATTGCAAACGCAACCTGGAGACGGCCACTTCCAGGGCACTGTGAGCAAAGTAGCTGATGGCCGCTTTGAAGTTCAAGGACCAATTTCAAGAATGAATCAATACGGAAACTCGAGTTGGTGCGTCAGCTCTTATCTTTTAAAGCCTGTGTGTTACTGCTTGTAAATAAGTGGAAAAAACTGCATACTAAAATGGAACCACTCAGGGTCTTCCGAAAATAAAATGTTTTTTTAAAAAAACTATTTAGTCTATGAGGCTGTTCTCTAAAATTAATATTTTTGTACGTAGATATGTCCACGCTTATCAATGATAATTTGAAAAGAAAACATGGCGTTTCATTTAAATTACATAAAAACTGACTTACTTTTATTGTGCTTATAACTAACAAGAAGAAGAGCCTTTAATCAACCATCAGTCGTGGCGCAATATTCATGGACATCAACTCTTGGAACAGCAGCTTGGCCGCATACGGCAGACGGACTTGCGAGATCTGCAACAAAACTTGTCAAAAACAAGTCAAATATATATTTTGATAAATCAAACCTGTGTCTTATTTTTGCATCCCTTGCATTCGAAGGTGTTGTTCCTCAGGTTGGCGATGGCTATTATTCCGCAGAAATTGCACACATGAATGCGGTAGGGGTCGGACACCTCGAACAGCCTCTCTCGCAAAAACTGGGCTGCTCCGTGCGAAATTTGACAATCTCGCTCCATCTCTCCGAAACGCAGACCTCCGTCGCGCGCCCTACCCTCCATGGGCTGACGCACCAGAATCTGAACCGGACCTCTGGCTCTCGAGTGGATCTTGTCGTCGACCATGTGCTTCAAACGCTGGTAGTAAGTGGGGCCAAGGAAAATTTGGGCCTGGAGTTTGCGTCCTGTGTGGCCGTTATACATGATTTCGTTTCCTCTCAATTGGTAGCCGTACTCATTGAGCAAGGACGAAATTTTCTGCACGTTGACAGCGTCGTTGAAGGGCGTGGCGTCACCAATTTCACCTCTGTTAGCAGAGACCTTAAAAAATCCAAAATAAATTAAAGGAGTTTTTTAAAAACCAAAATAATTACCTTGCCCTGGAGACACTCGATCAAGTGACCGATTGTCATACGAGAGGGGATGGCGTGGGGGTTGATGATAATGTCGGGTGTGAGGCCTTCACAAGTGAAAAGCATGTCCTCCTGTCTGTACTGAATTCCACATGTTCCCTTCTGTCCATGCCGAGAGGCAAATTTGTCCCCGATTTGAGGGATGCGGACGGAGCGCACCCTGATCTTGCTGAATTTGTATCCCTCCGAGTTGAGGGTGATCATGACTTGGTCAACAATTCCAGTTTCACTGTTTCTTAGGAAGGTGCTCGCGTCTCGCTTGGTGTATCGTCTTGTCGTGCCTTCCAACTCATCATCGTTTTCAGGCAAAGTGATGGTCTTGCCGATGATTACGTCGTCACCAGACACTCGAATGCCGGGGGCAATAATACCATCGTCATCCAATTTGTCATAAATTGCATTTCGCATTCCCTAGAATAAGAAATTTATCACATAAAATTTCAATTAATTTTTCTTTTCATTTACCTGGCAAGTAGCTCTGTTTGGCTTTTCAAACTGCTCTTCCTGGTCTCCTATCCTCTTTGATTCTTGGTCTTTGTAAGAGCGGTAGAAGATGGATCGGAAAAAGCCTCTCTCAACAGCAGAGGCGTTCATAATGACAGAATCTTCCTGATTATAACCAGTGTAGCAGGCGATGGCAACCACCGAGTTGATACCAGCGGGCAATTCTCGGAACCGAAGGTACTCCATGGAACGTGTTGTTACAAGAGGCTTCTGAGGGTAGTAAAGGACGTGGGCCAAAGTGTCCATCCTGACATGGAAGTTTGTGATGTAGACGCCCATAGCTTGCTTACCCATGGCACTCTGAATAACAGAACAGAATTTTATTGGTTAAAATTTCAAATCTTTACTTGAAGACCAGGTGCCAAATATCAACTAAAGAAACTGTATGCGCACCTGGTATGTGTTACGAGGACTCTGATTGTGATCAGGGAATGGAATGATGGAGGCGCAAACACCCAAGATCATGGCTGGATGGATTTCACAGTGAGTGTAAGTGCTACAGTAGGCATTTTCCTTCTCGGAGTTCAAATCCTCAGGGGACATAGCAATCATGACCGTTTCCTCTTCTAAAGTATCAATGTACTCAACCACACCGCTCGAAACCAAATACTGCCAACTAAAGCAAGGAAAAACTTGATTTATATATAAAAAAAAATTAAATCAGATAAATTACCCATAGTTATTGTAATCTCTGTCCTTGAGCATATCAATGTGTCTTTTTTTTAGGAGCAAGTTGCCATTTTCGACGATCAAAAGAGGTCGACAGATTCGTCCTGCGTCAGTGTAGATCCTGATCTCCCTATCTCTAATGTCGCGAATCATGGACACCTCAGACACAATGATGTCCATCTGACGTCTCAGCTTCCTCAGCGTAGCCATCAGCTGTTCAGGGTCTCTGTGAATGCCGACCCAGCAGCCGTTGACAAAAATCTTGGTTGCATCCAAGATGGCCGAAGGTGCTATTTCCTCCAAGTTCTCCATGCTCCATTCCTCCAAGAACTCAAGAATTGGCGATGGTTGGGAGCCGACCGAGATGTAAGCCATCAGGGCCAGATTCTTCACCAACCCGACAGCAGCACCTTCGGGAGTTTCGGCCGGACAAATCATGCCCCAAAGGGTGTTGTGCAACTGACGAGGTTTGGCAAGTTTGCCGTCTCGACCAATAGGCGAGTTAACACGACGAAGATGAGAAAGGGTGGAGGCAAAGGTCAGTCGATTCAACACCTGGGACACTCCAGCTCTGGCCTGATGGGCCTTCTTTTGGTCACCCCAGTTTCCTGTGGCCAGCGAGTATCTCAAGCCGTCAGTGATGATTTTGGTTTTGATGGCAAGCTCCAGATTGAAATCTTTTCCGCGGTCAATGAACTTTTGAGAGTACATTCTGACTTCCTTCAGCAAGTTTTTGAAAAGTCTGAAAGTTAAGAAGTTGTTTAAGGTGATGATTTATTATAATTGCTAATGCCATTACCCTCTGAAGAGGAAGGCTAGAAGAGGGCCAGCAAGATCAAGTCTCTTGTTTCCGTAGTGATCTCTGTCATCCAACTCTCTTCTGCTCAGAGCAGCCAATAGAAGGCGGTGGACCATGTAACTGCACACAAAATAAATTTCAGAAACATCAAAATTAAAATATTCTACGCAAATACCCTAAAAAGTACGCCTTTTTTGTTTCACAGAAGTCCGACACACCAACGTGAGGAAGCATTTCTTTCTGCAGAATTTCTCTCGCATACTTGATTCTCTTTTCTCTCGTTACACCTGGCCTGGCACCTCTTGCTCCGATAAAGTTAAGGGCAACGTTTTGTTCTTGGATTACAAAAGCTTCATCCAAAGATGGCTTGACCATTTCCATCATTTCTGGATCGTCAAAGTCATAGATGATGTGCTCCAGAATATCTCGATCGGCCACAAATCCCAGGGCACGGAAGACAATCATGATTGGGATTTCCTGCTTGATGTATGGGAGAATTGCAATGATCCTCTGACCAATGGCCGACTTCTTAATGCTCTGTAAAATATTTCTATCTTTTAAAAAGATCTATTTCATTTTTTCATAAAATACCTGTCCACTTCGGGCCATCATGTTAACCCAGAGTGTGGATGTTGGTCTTGAGCTGTGTTCTTGGCAAGAGCGAATTTCTGCCTTGTATGCAAACTTGCCATCTTTCATTGCAAAAACGTAAACTGTGTTGGTAGCCATTTTCTCTTGAGCGATGAGCACCTGAATAAAAATTTCAATTTGAAAACTATAGGATTAATTGTTGACAAATTTACTTTTTCAGATCCGTTGATGATGAAATAACCGCCAGGGTCAAGAGGACATTCGTTCAACTCAGTCAAATCTCGATCAGTTAAGCCATTGAGAAGACAGTATGTAGATCTCAACATAATTGGAATTTTTCCTGAACGAATATTGAAAAATGTGAATTTCAAGATAAATTTGGCTTAATTAGGAAGTGTTACCAATAAACGTCTTTTGGTGCTGCGTCTCAATTGGTTCCTCGTCTTCTTTGACAACTGTTTTAGTGATGTCCACATACAAAGGGGCTGAGTAAGTTAAGTTTCTAAGCCGAGCCTCATTGGGCATCATAGGTGAAGGGGCTCCATCCTTTTCCCAATGTGTTGGTTTCGATAAGTAAATTTGTTCAAATCTCAACAAATATTTTGGCTGAAAATACGATTTTAGTTGAGGAAATGACACATAATCTAATAATAATTAATTTACAGGTGTTTCAATTTCTCCTGAGGTGTGCTGCGCTTCTGCTTGGAGCTCGATCTGAGGAGAGTCTTCGACAATACGTTGGACAGACATCTGAATGAACTCATCGAAGGAGTCGAGCTGCTGCCTCACAAGGCCTTTTTCATCAAAGTATGCGTTGATGACAATCCAGCAAGCTTCTTGCCAAAGTTCGGACGAAATTTCTTCGTTGTCTTCGTCCGCATCCATGGGTTCTGCAAAGCAAAATTAAATCAATTTTGAGCACCCGGCAACCGGTCGTGTGTGAATCAAGTTAAGAAGCCAAATTACCGTCGTCCAGGTCGAAAGATCGGTCCATTTTGACGTAGGGGTTGTTACTCAAGCGATCAAAAGTGCACTAAAAGTGCAGCGACCCTTAGAGAGGGTCAAAATAGGCAATTTTATCACAAATAGAAGCAACCAGACCGCGACCCAAACAAAAGCTTGTTATTGAAATGAAAACGCAACGCATCACACGAGCTCTATATACTGAGCATGCGCGTCACGCGCCGAAATGTTAATCAAAGCAATTTAACGCGAAAGATGCGTGGGTGCGTGTAAAGATTTTGAATGACTCATAACAGCCATAACAGATTGTTGTTTCGCACATAAATGTCATAAATTACAATAATTACATGCATGCATTTAGTATTTACCCGGATATCCGACATTATCACGCGAAAACACATGAAAAATTTTTCCAATTTTTTTATGTTTTCTATTTTTTACAAGAAAAGGCAGAAGATGATAAATTTTATGAATTAATATTTTCCTAAAACACAAGTCAAGATGTCGCATATTGTCTATTGTCTCATATTATATGACTGAACTAAAACATGACCACAGAATATAAAAGAATAATTAAACTTTCATTTTTCATAATCAAATTTATTACTTTTAAAATAATTATGTAAAATATCATGCATACATTAGCGTAAATATTAAGTCCGAAAAATAATTGATTCATAGTTGTTGCCTACTAATTAGAGTCCTTAAATAATTATTTAAGGACTCTACTACTAATTATACTGAACTTGAGCTTTAAAAATAATTTCAAAATACAAGTCGATTTAGTAAAAATAATGTTTTCAAAAAAATTAGATACGCATTGTGAAATTTCGTTTAAAAGATTTTTAAAATTCCTAGAAAATGATAAAATTGCATTTCATTTTTTTTTATCAAATTGCAATATATTATACCGCTCATCACCGTTCATGAAACTTCGTACGTGGAGGAGGAGAAGGACTGTTACTTACGATAGTGTCGCTCTGTATCAACAACACACAATATAAATCAAATCTTTTTCTTCACTCACTCTGGAAACGCTATACGTAAAACATAAAACAAAAATGCGGAAAAATGATTTTGAATATTCTAAATATCTTCCTGATTATTTAACGTCGTTTTTATCATTATTATCGTCTTTTGCAGTATCCTACACATTTTCAAACTTTAATTTTACATTTACATGGATGCTAGTCTGGATACTCTTTTACACTGCTCTAGCACAATAAATTTTAAAAACTGCACACAATTGCACATTTTTCATTCAAGTTTTTATTATAATGTTTTTTTTTTAAATTTAAATTAAACACAACTAATTAAATTTTTTAACAATTCCATGACTCGCCATGTTTGTAAATTATGCAACTCCTTTCCTCATTGTTTATTATGTTATCTGATAAAATGAAAAAAAAAACCCGAATGGATAACAGCATTAATTGATAATTTATTACTTATTTGGCGTAAATGAGAGTGTGTAATGTAAAAGATTCAATTTCCAATATTCCAGCACAAAATAGCCAATAATTTGTTCAATTTTAAATCTTGAAGAATATTTTCAAAATTTTGCAGAAAACTTTAAGTTGCAAATAATATATTTTTATTATTTTTTCCAATTTATTTATTCTTCATTCGATTCAATCATGAATTCACAGCAAAAACTGATATGTACATAAAAAGTACAGAAAGAGCTTAATAATACGTTGAAAAGAGACATAATTTATTGTAGATTAGGGGGTGAATGGACAAAACGGGACAAAAGTGGCTTTTCGCTAGCAAACAACTGCTGCAAACGCAACAAAATTGTTTAACGTTGCCAAATTGAGTAAATAAGGCAGGAATCGCAGAGGATGAATGCGCGTTCACCACGGCACAGACAGCCGCAGACGGCGCAGACGAGTTTTTTCACGATTTTTCCTGTTTCCAATATTTTGTCTCCCTTCTTTTCACGAGTTCCTCGTCTTCTCCCTTCTCCTTCCGAACGCATCACCAACCAAGCAGCTAGGGCGTTTTTGAACTAGCTGCAATTCTCTCTCTTTTCGTCTCATGTAAGGAGGGAAAATAACCAATTTCACTCTTCTTAGTCTAATGATCGGATCTTGATCGACTTGATCGTATTTTATTTTAGTGCGTCCTGCGTCGACTGATCATTAGTCAGCCAGTCGTCCGACTCGTCCGTCGTCCCATATTTCTCAATCTCCTCTCTACAGTGCCAGACGCGGAAAACGAAACGACGCCATCCTCAATCCTCAATGTCTTCACATTCGAAGAAACGACGTTTTTCGCGAGATCCTGCAAGTCCTGCAGCACCGTCACCTGCAAAATGCACAAAAGTACGTATCTGAAAGGCTATTTTTCCAAACGCACATTTCTACAAATTAATGCTCATAATTTTACACTTAAAACGCAGTGTATGAATGTATGAACCGGTATGTACATACATACAGAATCATAATTATCATAAATGAGAGAGCTGAAATAAGCATGACAGTACAATATTTTATCGAATGCAAAAGTTTTTGCAAATTCATATTACATATAGCTATTCTTAATTTGAAATATTTTGTAATGTACTTCTAGGCCCAAAAGAAAATACTGGGAGAGTTGGAGGAAATGGACAAACAGAAAACCATTGAGGAGAGACGCTTCCTGGATTCTCTCGACGGCGCTCAAAGGAAAATGAGATTCATTGAAGATGCTGCCTTTGCAAAACATCCTGAACACTGCTCCTTCCTGGTTGGCAACCAAAAAGAGGTTTTTGCTTTACACATATCTTCCGATCACTACAGTCAATTGCGGTTGATTTATGTTACATATACTTTTTTTACTAAAATATTACCTCGTTAAAATGCAATCAATTATAAATAAATAATTGATAATTCTGATTTTTTCCAATTTAGAAAACCATCTTCCATGCCAGCAAATTAGACTTGCGCTCTGCAAGTGAATATTTCCAAGCTCTACTTCGATGTGAGTTTACTCCACAAAATGGGCAACCCATCAGAATTTCTCACATCAAGCCCCACATCTTCAAACTCGTGATGGAGTAAGTTTAATTGTGCAATTATTTTAGTGTGAATAAATCTCCTTATTCTTTTTAAAGATATGTTCACACCTGCCATCTTCTGACACCAGTGGACTTGAACATGGTTGCTCTGTTGTCTTGTGCAGCTGATGAGTTCCTACTGGAAAAATTGGGCAAAGTGGCCGAAGACTTGATGTACAAACAGTTGACCACCAAAGATGTGTGGCATTACTTTCGACTTTGGCACAAACACAGATTTGTCATGGCAGCATGCAAACAGGTAAAAGAATTTTAGTTGAAAATTGTGCAATTTTATAAAACTTTTTTCTTTTAGTTCTTGGAAGACAATACTACTGCATGCTTGGAAGATGATTCATTTCTTAGCATGAACAAATCTGCAGATCGACTGGTGGAATTCCTGTCTTTGGAGAAAATGAACATCCAGTCGGAGGCGCAGCTCGTAGCTGCCTTTGCAAAACTAGCTTCCAAGAAGGGTGATAGGGTAAGGACACAAATACTAGAATTATATTTTGAAATCATTTTATTATTTTAATTTCTGTACACAGAAACTCAGAGAGAAAGTCCTGCCTCACCTCCGCCTGCTGCTTGTGAAGCCTGAAGATCTTGTGAAAATCTCTGATTGGCTGACAGAAGAGCAGGCTCTTTTCATGGCTTCTCAACATGACCCTTTGCTGAAGACAAAAAGCTACCCTCAACCAGATTCCATCAACATGTCTCGAGAAGAGAGGACCAGGAGTGGTGCTGCCAATGCTCCTCCTGTGCTTGTTCCTCCTCATTTTGCTCCAATTTTCAGACTTCGAGTTTGCAAAAAAGAGCAAATTTAGCTTTTTGCTTCTGAGCAGTACAAAAGTATACTACATACTTTCAAAAATTACATTGACCAATTTGATTTGATAGAGGCTTAAAAAATGGTCAAGGAAAAATGAAAGTTCTTCTAATAATAGTGTGCCGGTAGAGCAACTTGGAAATTTGAATTGTCAACACTGTTTATTTTTAGGGGTTTAGCTGTTTATGCAGTTAATAATTGTTGATATGATTATTGCATTATTTTTTCAATACTTGAACGTTTCTGTTAAAATAAGGCACCAACGCCAAAAGCATAAATTTTTCTCTTATTGCATCAGAACCGCGTCCTGAAAAATGTTTGGGAAAAAAATTTAGAAGGGGAAAAAATCCAAAATTTGAAACCAGAGGATAAATAATTCCTGTTTCTACTCACAAAAATGTTGAAGTGCCCTCTTGTGCATAATTTGCTCAACAGATATATATTTTCCAAATAATTTATCACATTTGTGCGATCGAAGTAACCTTGTTGCATTTTCTGGCAAATTGGGAGGTTTTATTTTAATTTTTTTCTAGATGTGTAACCTGTGAAAAAGCCCAAAAAAATGTCAATGAAAACTTGCATGAAAAAGATTTTTGTTGGTTCTTAAATGAAATATGGTACATCAAAGTCACTGTGTCAATGATGACGTCAGGCTAATTTAAATGTTCCATTAGAAAAATTGTCCTGGCTAAAATTTCATATCCTGCTCAATACATGATAAATACGGAACATGATCATCCTGTATGTGTCATTAGTTGATGTAGGATCATATCTTTTTCATTACCATATCTGGAATTTGTTACAAATAATTCAGCAAGTAGAAATAAATTCCTGCAATTAATAGTCAATTTTAAAATCCAAAATTTAAGTAAATGAAAAGATCTGGCTTTTCCTCACTGTGGAAATAATTTTTTATTAAAAAACAATTGGCTCTACCAGTTTAAGCCTATGTCTGGTACGGTGGTACCCTATTTTGCTCATGAAATAGGATCGCAGACCAAAACTGGTGGAGCCATTTGTTTTTAAATAAAGAACAATTTCTGCAACAAGGAAAAGCCCTATCTCTTCATTTCCATGATCATCTCCTCCAGTGTCCATGTCTTCAAACAAATCCAAAATTTAAGTTGTGACCCTGAAATTATTGTTCTTGAAATCATTTGTTCCTCTCAGTGAATAAAAAAAAATGAAATTTAAAAAAGAGGAGAAATGATAGAAAAATCTTTGAGACGAAAAAAATCTAACATTTTATGTAGTTGTGTTGGTTCAACCATTACACATGGAAACAATAAAAATATTTAAAGTTTGAACTTCAAAATTAAAACCAAAAGTGATATTTTTCCCCCTTTTTTCAACTAAAAAGCAAGTAAAAAATATAAATAATTTTATCTCATCCTTATTATTTTGAAGTATTTACACTTTATGAGAAATTATTATAGCAGGCAGTTGATGCTCGTCAATCGTAACGTTAAGGAAAAATTTGTAGAGCTAACATAGCTCTGTGAAATTTCCCATTATGTTAATTTAGAGCTGTAGCAGTCCTTAACTTTGTTGGGTGTGAAAACTGGAATAAGGACGGCAGCTAAGTCACTTTAGTTACTTAAAAGAATGTGTGTTGTATGTCAGTGGGCAACCTACACCTGGTCTGCGTCTATACCTGTTTACTGCCTGAGTGCCTATAAGTTATATAAAGGAAATGGAAATTTCAAAATCATCTTGAATTTATAGGGAAAAAACTAAACATGCTAGTTGAGGTATTATATAAATTCTTAAAAGTAATTAATATTTTTATAATACATCAAATCTGCACCAAATTTTACTTATATACAAGAAATTCATGAACATGATTCAACAAGTTTCTATTTCTTAAGAAAGATTTGAATTTAGAGTGGGTGATAATTTTTTCATAGTCAAGTTGAAGTTTTTTTATTAGCTGATATGAGAGAGATCAGAGTACACTATGCGATCTCTTACAAGTAAAGGGAGGGAGAAACTAGAAAATTATTTTATCCTAATTTTTGTGCGATTATTATCAAAATTATTGTCCTTCCTTTTCAATAGATAACTTATTATCATCGACTCTAGATAATATTTTTTAATGATTTCCAGTTTATTGTTTGTGATTTTTTTAAATATAAAAATTTTCATTCAAGGTTCTACCATCCACGGACACACACTTCAGGTACCGAAAAAAGGTTTTGATTTTGCATTAATTTTTTTTCAATATTAATTTTAAATAATTCTTCTTCACTTGAAAACTGTATAGTACATAATATTAAACATTTAAAAAAAATTATAATTATATAATAGAGTTTAGTTTACTGTTTTAATTTAATACACTATAAATCATTTTTTTTTTAATTCAAGCTTTTAATAATATACCATATACCAAATTGTTAATACATATCGCATCAGATAAAAATATTCTCATCAACGGCTTGCAAAAAAAAAAAATGAGAGCACGCTCATTAAGTGCACTTAAAAGGTGATAATTGAATTAATCGGCTGTCATTAAAGTTCAAAGTAATTACTTTTTAATAAAGACAAATCGACACCATCTGAGATTAATTTTCTCAATAATTGTTCTATTGCGATAATCGTAGACACTTCAAATGGGCCGACAAGGTGTAAGTGTGCTTATTACGCCTGGCTTGGGAGGAGGGTTTGATAATTGGAAATTGATTTCCATTTGATGCAAAAACCACGGCCGTTTGATGAGCATGATAATTGACGCCTTGTAGTGCGAACAGGCGGCGACATCAAGACAATCGCAACAGCATTATACTGGCCACTCGAAATCTGGCGCGTCAACATCCTTTTTGTGATAAGAGTGTTGCATATAAAAGCTCTACAAACCACCATTTTTCGCAAATTCCACTGAGAACTTCAAAGAGACAGACGCGGAGCATGAAATGTAAGTTACAAAACTTCAAGTTTTTTTTTTTTTAAATTATAATTTTTCTCTTTAAATAAATAGTTTTCCGAGTAGGTGCATTGATTGCACCGCTGGTGCTGGTCCTTCTGGCTACCAATGTGCATTCCAGGGCCACCCGGTAGGAGAAGCTGAGCCAAATTATTAAATGGGAAACAAAATTGTATTTTTTTTATTTTTAGTGATCTAATTATTTTGCCCAGCGGCGGTGGTGGCGGCGGCGGAGGCGGCGGTGGTGGTGGTGGTGGCGGCGGCGGCGGCGGTGGAGGTATTGTAACCAAGTTAATTAATATTATGTCATGAAATAATTTTTATATGAATTTTAGTAATTATTGATTAATTTATAATTTGTTCTTAATTGTACGTACATGTCAATTCACAAAATTTTGAATGCAAATTAATTATACACCTTTACGGGGAAAAATTAAATTTTCCTCGTGTGAGTTTATGATAAATCGGTGTGTGTCCTTTTGTGATTAGCACGCAAAAACCATTGAAAAACATGGGTGCTACATGTAAATGATAACGGAAAGTGTACAACAAATAGCGGATTGTTAGAATTTAGTGGATCAATGATAAGAATTTGACGCCATTGGATTGTAAATCACAGTTAACGCAATCCCCATTATGGCCGTTTTATCATAAAAGCCAATCTAATGTTCAGCGAATTCGTGAACAATATGTCATGTTATAAACGTTAAACGCGTGCTAAATCCACATATAAGGAAGATTTTAATCTTCAACAAATCTATCGACTTCTTGATCATATTAATAATCCAATTTTGCAGGTGGAGGAGGTGGTGGCGGCGGCGGTGGCGGTGGAGGAGGCGGAGGTAAAACTTGCAAAATTGATAAGAATAAATTAAATAAATTGAAAATTGTTCATAAATTGAAACTAATGATAATAATTATCTGCTTTAAGGTGGTGGCGGAGGTAAATTTGCATTTTTTTTCTTCATAAAAATCACTCTGTAAAACTTACAAGTTGAAAATTGCTTTTGTGTTTAGTAAAAGAAAAAAATCCGTTTGGACGTTCCATGATTTATGAGACTTAAAATAATCCATGGAGAGTGTGTGTTGCTTTAATATTTTTAAATTCAAAACGTTAAAATTAAATTTCTTTCTATAACTTCAGGAGGAGGCGGTGGTGGTGGTGGTGGTGGCGGCGGCGGCGGCGGTGGTGTAGGAGGTTCTCTTTATTTTCTTTTTAAAATAATTTGATGTATTGAATTATCAAATACCAATAGACAAATTTAATTAATGTTATATGAGTGATAGTGAAATAAAAAATAATATTGCGCCCACTATAGTTTACTTTATCTCTTCATTGCAGAACAAACAACCCAAGGGCCTGCTACTACTACGACGCAAGGATCAGGAACTACAACGACCACTACGCCGCCAACCACGACTGTGACACCTACGAGTCCTACAACCACTCAAAGTACTACCCCTACTACTCCTAATACTGGCACTACTACAACTGGAACCACAACTACTACTGGAACTTCGGGAACTACAACAACTACTGCAACAACAACCACTACTTCAACAACTACAACTACTAGTACGACAACCACAACCAAGCCAACAACAACTAGGCCTTCTGGAGGAGGTACTACTGTGAATCCTACTAGTCCTCCAAGGTATGAAATTAGCTTGTGGCATAATTTCTTGCATCAAATTTATGCTTTAATTAACTATAGGACGGAACTGCCTGGTCACATTGGTGATCTACAGTGTCTTCTTGCGTCAGCATTGTGTCCTGAAGTGAACTATGATCCATCTGGCGCTTCCATGTATTTGCCTGCGTCGGTGTGCGAAGGCTTCTGTCAGTGTGACTGGCAATCCAGGGCACACTTTTTCGAGTGCCCACCCGGACTGCACTTCAACCCTGACCAGAAGGTGTGCGATTCGCCTCTTACCGCCGGTTGCCGTGTCTTATGATTAAACATTGTATGCCACATTGCACTGACTGGCACAATAGCATTGCACGCAACACACATATTTATCTAAATTTTAATTCTGTTAATACCTAACCCACTGTATTTTGGGGCTCAAGAAAATAAACTACTGAAATAACTTCAAAATTTTATTTTGCATTGACGGGCAAAGTCTTGAAATTTTTACATCTCCGTGTCCGGGCGTTTGGCAACCCAGGCTTTGATAGATGGGATTCCCAGAACTTTCTGTTCCAAGGCTTTCAGAGCTGGATAGTCCTTAAGTAGGTCGTAACCGGCCATGTAGTTCACGTAATCTTGAACTCCCGCCAGCACAATGTCAGCCCAAGTGAGCTTTGTTTGATACGAGTTTAAATTATATGAATTATATTGTTACATATTGATTAAGATTAATTTATTATTATATTTCATGGCATGTAAGAATTTAATGCACAAAAAAGACGAAGCTTGGTTAAATTTTTTAAATTTATAATGATACATCTTAAAAAAACTATTAGACTCTGTTTTCAAAAAAAAAAAAAAAAAAAAAAAAAAAAAACTCAATAACTACAACGCTATTTAAAAATTTTATTGGTTATTGACTTGTAGTTGTATTTAGTTTTTATAAAACCGCAAAATATTAAATATTATATTTAATGTAACTTTCCCAAACGCACCAAACTTTGCTCTTTAATTTTTATTTCTGTCTTATTGCTATCAATTTATTTCATTAAGCCTACAGAAAGCAAGTTAAAATTTTACTTAAGGTAATTGAATAATAAAAAAAAAAAAGAATGTAAAATCTTCTCTCACCTTTCCATTGACCAAATATCCGTTGTTGTCCTTGACTTGCTGTTCAAGACGACCCAGATAGAAAGGTAGGAAAATCTGGAAGGCCTGTTCCTTCTTCCTTTTGCGGGATTCTTCATTAGTGTCGTAGAAGTAAGTGATCAACTCTGCAAATCAGATAACTTTAATGAGTCATGATTGCCAATTAAAACATCAAGTGGCAATAAAATTACGGTGTCTGTAATCAGCCAAAGTGTCCACGGCCGTATCAATGAGAAGCTCCTCCTCAATACTATCGCCTGCAAGCCCAACCTGCTTTGCAAAGTAGCGAGCCATGGCCATACTCTGGTGCACAAGTTTTCCATCAATTTCCAAGTTAGGGATTTTGTTGTAGGGGAAGCCTGGATTATTTTTCCAATCAATGAGGATAAAATGCAATGGTTATCAGATACTTACGGCTCTTATCGCTCCTGAAATCCTCGTGGGTGATGCGGTAATCCTCATACTGGTAATTTCCATAAGCGAAGAGGAAACGTAAGGGTTCGGCCAAAGCCTTGGCATCCACGTAGATGAGTTTAAGTTTTGGTGCCATCTCAAAGCTGAAAATATTTTATAAGAATTAAGTTTACTTTAATTTTTTAAGATTTGAATTCATTTAAAGAATTTTTAGCCAAAATAATTTTTTATAAATTCATATTTTATAACTTAGGCTTTCATTTAAATAGATTTATAAAAAAAAAGAGTAAAGCAAGCATTTTGAGATATTATTTACCTGTATCAGTATTTTCTGCCTAGTTCTTTGCCAGAGTTTTAAAAAGTGAATCGGGTGATGCTCAGCAGCGAGTGTTTATTATCTTATCTCTAAAAAGGCGCTGTCATCTTTCATCATTTATCAAAATCATGAGATCACAGAATCAAGTAATTTTTGTTTTAAGACGATGATTTTCAATATTTGAAGGAGTTAAATTTAATGTAAAAATTCTGATGTGTGAAAATATTTCGTTGAATATTTAGATAATTATTGTGCTGCAATAGCACAAGAAATGACCTGGAAAATAAAACAATAACTTAAAGAAATCTATGAAATTATTAATTGAGTCAATGTAACCTGCTTGCATAAAGGACACTGTCCAGCAATCCGGTTGAACACTGTTTTATTAGAAGGGACGGACTGAAGCCACTGAAGATTTAAATAAATTTAAAAACCAAATTACTTGATCAGTTAAAATAATGTTTACCCCCAAAAGGCACTCCTCGTGAAATTGGCCCCCACAATCTTCACATGTCCTATTCAAACCCTCAGACATGATGCAAATGCTGCACATTTGGCTTTGGGACAATTGGGAGGAGTTCATATCGGGCGGAGTAGGAAATTCTATGTTTAAATACTTTTGGAGAGACTTCAAAAGAGAGTTTTCCACAACACACCACTGGTAGAAATTATAAAATGAATAAATAAACGACCATCAAAATAATATACAATAATTTTTTATACCTCTTTTTTGTAAATTTCAATCTCGATTGGCTTGACTTTTGCTTCTGAGCCGAGGAAGGAAATTTCAGGCAGCAGTAAGGGATTGTATGGGTCTATTGTAACAGTCACAGACAATCCTGTTTCTAGATTAATAATTTGAAGAGAGAATAAATTTCTAAAGCAACAAATAATTATTCAAACCAATTGAAATTTGCCTTCTTGTGTGGCTCTGGTTGGGCTCCACTGGGTCTAATACCCAAGTCTCTTGGTCCAGTTCTTTAACAACATGCCAAAATGTCTGCAAATTTTCAACTTGACGTTTAAGCATTTTGTAGGCTTCAGGCACTGACGGACACTGATATTGTAAGAAATAGATTACCTTTGCTTGATTTACAAGAATTTGACAATACCTGAGCAATTATTTGAACAGCAACTTCTGGCAAATTTGGGCACTTGCACTGAAAGGAGCCATCGGGATTGGCCTCTACCTGCATGCAGTGAGTCGCAACCGCACTCTCGACCTTCAATTCAAAATGACTAAGATTGCTTTTGTCTACGCACTTAACGTTTTCAAATCCAATCGATGAAAGATTTGAGACTACATCTCTCCAAAATTCAATAGGCACTTCAACTGACTTTACAACAGTGGCTTGAACATCCGAACTTTTTGTTATCTAAAAGCATTTGTAGAAAAAAATCAAAAAATTGTAAGTAAAAAAACTTACGGTAAGATTTTGAAGCCAAATTAAAAAATCGTAAAACAGTCTTGACTTGGAGGACAACCACTGCTCAAAACATTGGTAAAATTAATTCGCATTGTATAAATCTAAATTTTATGTAAATTTACCTGTTGCAATTCTTGATCAGAACCTTCCAGCAACTTTTGCAAAATTTTGGACATTTCCTTTATTTTTATGTCTTTGATAGAAGGAAGGTTTGGCACCGAAATGTGCAGATACAAGTCAGCCTCCTAAAAATCATAATATTTAAAATACGTATGTAATCATTAAAATTTATCTTCGCCTAATTTTTTTGAGTCAGCAATTTACAGTGTATTTCTTGCATAAAATAATAGTGCAGCTGTTTGAAATTATTTATTTGATTATGTATTTTTTAATTTTTTATATAATTTCATATGTATACTTTTTTCAAAATAATTATTACGAGTCAATGAAATTTAATATAAAGAAGAAGGGTACCTCCGATATGGCTTTCCAATAAGATTATGTATTTACTTCGCCGTCTTAGCCTTCAATTAGTGGGTTTTGTATAACACAATATTAAAATTATGAACGTAAATTGATTATAAAATAACGAATGCAACGCAAGCAAACAAGCAGCAATAGAATCTAGAGAACTTTTTATGCAAAACGATACACCCTGCTATTTGTGCTTGTTGCCACAAGTTTTTCATCTAGCGTCGAGAGTCAAAGTGAACAATTCCATCATGCAAACTTACTCCAGGGGAAAGGAAGCCTCTGTACTCGCTAAATTGACGGTTGGGTACCATAAGAGGGAATTTGTCCAGCATTTTAGGAACCAAACTTGCAAGTCGAGATCTGTCCATGGTGAGTGGTTATGAACAGAAATAAAAAGTAACGAAACTTCCGGCCTGCTCTCACTCACCACTCACTCATGTGCGTTTGTTTACTTGTTTTGTTTTGAAAATTCACTTTTGCTGCTCCTCTCGCTCACTAAAACGCATGCTCAGTGACCATCGTGAAGTTGTCACGAATTCAAAGATCACTCTCAAATAATCACGGTTAAATTATAATTTAACCGATTATGTAAAATTATTTTTTAACTTCCATTATATTAAAAATTAACAACGCTCTAAAACTAAATTTTTGCCGTTGAAATAATATTAAAGCACACATTACTTGCCATTTCCATGATTTACGTAAAAATTTAGCCAATATCTGGACTGTTTAGCCAAAAAAAGAACCAGTGGTAGAACCGGTTAAATTCCAATTTTTGTGCATTGCATACTTTCAACTGTGCGTGAGATAGCGTCACGATTGTGCACACGTGTACAGGGTACTGAAAATCGATGGCGTAAATAGTTAAACTCTCTAATTAATTTGTCATTTCTAACCCTGCAAGGCCCTTCTTTGGTCGTTGACATCGAAATCACGTGAGACAAATTTCCTTTGCACTATTCAGTGAATGTCTTGAGGCTGCCCGCGATCAGCAATTCCTGCAAATAAGATTTGAAAAGTGTCTTTGCATTGAAACGACTGGTTGTGTGAATCCAGCTGTTTTTGTGCAATCTAATCAGTAAAATCACTAAAATCGTTTCTAATGTCCTATCGCGCCCTAAAATTGGTTGCTATCTTTAAAAATTTCGTTTCTTTCTCGTAATCCAGTTGTTTCAATCATCACTGTGTTGTTTGTTCAGAGGAATTTTCGAGAAGAGTTTTTATACACGTAGGCCACAAAATGTTTATGCGCAGTCACTGCAGTATTTTGAATTAATTTGTCCTTATTTAAAAAAATCTTCTTTTAATTGGAAGACTTCTAATCATTTTTTTTTTTAATTTAGATCTTGATACGTATAACGTATGATGCATTTTTTTCTTTCAAATGGTCAAAAATTATTTTCTTACCTTTTTGCTTTCAAAAAGCCTGCAAAAGAGCCACGTTCGTTGTTTACTTATGGCTTCTTCCTCTTTGCTGTTTTAAAATAATTGAAATGGTGATCTCATCATTTTAATTTTAATAGCATGAAGCTATGTAAATTTTACGGTTGTAACTGAAGTATTATATATATATTTAAGGAAAATAATTATTTGCATCAATTTAGCTATTAAAAAAAACTTATTGCCTTTGTACATTAAAATCCTGCACAAAATTAAAAGAAAATATATATTTTAATGTTGTTAGTGAATCTTCTATATGGTGTAAGATTTTTTTGTAAAAACAATAGTAAGAAAACTTGTCATTCCAGCCATTTGTCACGATGCGCCGCTCCGCCTCTTTCACTGCTGGGCCCAGTGACCACCGACCATCTAGGATTCCAACGCCTGTCGTATCAAAGCCTTCGACCGTGACAGCCACCACTCCTAGTACTCCAACCTTTCGTCGGAGAACTGGTTCTCTTAGGCTGCCCAGTTCAAGTCCTGCTGAAGCCTATTCAGCTCCGCCCATTGCATCTCCCGGTGTTCTAAGGAGAACGGGCTCCATGCGACTACCCAGTAGGAGCCCCTGCTTTGACAATAAAGACGTTTGGGGTGTCGGTTCCGGATCTTGGGGCAAAAGGCAGCAACTTCGCAGACAGCAGCAAGGTGACACGGCGGCCGGACGAACGACTGGGCTTACCTCTCCACTGTCCACAAGAGGGTCTAACACTTCAATCGACAAACTGCACCTGAGTCACCATCACCTCAGAAGACCCTACGAAGACGACGATGGTTAATTTCCATGAAACTATTTTTAGAAAGAAAAAAAAACACTTGATTTTAATATTTTAATTTATCCTATAAATTGTCTCATTTCATATTTTGCTTTTTAACTAAAAAACATCAGTCGTAAAATCTTAAAATCTTAAAATTTTTTTAATTGATTTGGTATTTAAATTTTCAGATCTCTGCTCTGAAGTGAGTTATGACTCTACAATGTCAATGGACAGGACATCATCGAGAAGATATGTGGTCCATTGCCCAAGTGATTTAAAGTCTCAACAAAATGGAACTCCATACCTGACCCCAACACAACGCACGGCCCTACTTAACAAAGAGCTCAAAGTATATCAGCAGTTTTTACATCAACTTTTATTAATTAATTTTTTTTTCAGGCCAAGTTAAAACAGGCTATGGAGGATGTTTCCCTGAGAGATTTGGAAATTTCCCGTCTCACTCAAGAGTGTGTCGAGCTGAGAATGAAACATGCAAGACTGAGCGTCAGTCCGGAGCAGTCGCCCACTCCATCGGGAATAGAAAAGGATTCGTTAAATTCGTCAGTGCACAGCGAACTGCCCGCTGAGTCAAACTCTGTGTCGATAATTAGTGAGGAGGAGCCGAGGGACAGGGCGGAGAGGAGAGACAAAATCACACCTCCCCTGTTATCCGGACCAAAACCCACAAGGCCTGATATTTTGAACTTGAGCTTCACCACCAGTGATGGAATTCGTCAACAACCAGACAACTGTCTGTTTAATAGCATGCCTGTTGTGATTCAGGTACCTGTTTGGCCAGAAGGGCCAAACAAAACTGTGAAGGAGAGAGAAGATGAGAAGTCTGTGATGCATCCAGTGGATGAGAAACCTAAATTGAAGCAAGAAGACTGCACCGAGAAAAATATTAAAACCGCGACTAAACAAGTAATTTTAAATATTGTTGATTTTAAAATTCCATTTAAGTGTGAATCAATTTCAAAATATGCTAAATTTTTAACGGATGTTTTTGTGAGTTTCAGGAATCAGACACGCAAACTGATCCTGACGATATTGAAATGCAGCTGAAAGCGGCGCAAGATGCCCTCATCGAAACCAAAGTAAGTTGCTCATGCACTTGCAGCTATTTAAAAAGCAGTGGATCGAGGATTCAAAAGCAGCTGGATGCAGAGCAGGCTATGATCTTATGGCGTGCAGCTCAGACTCAGGTCAGAGTCAGACAAAGGCCCTAAGCCTGTCTCAAATTTAACACTGGTTTACTGGTAGTCGTCGTCGGACTGCTTGTGTAGATGTTGGCACATGCACCTTCACTATTGGTTGCAAGTATATTTGGTTGCACCAGTGTTATTCTCTTTGCTGCAAAGGATCGAATACATGTCGGATTAAGGACAGCTGGTTGCAGCAGTACTGTACGATTCTCAAAATTTGTTAAAATTCACTAAGTATTCTAGTCTTATTAAAATTTTACTTGTTGCAATTTGATGTTATTCTGTTTTTGGTGATTTATATTGTCTTTTTTTTAAAAATCCAGTGATTTCATTCCTGTTGCAGGTTCAACTTAGTCGACTACGTAAAGCTGCAGACAATTCTCAAGCAGAGGTGACACTGAAGTTCCTCAAGTCAGCATTTTTCCATCTCATAACAGACAGCAGCCAAGGCATGACTCAGGCCACAAAGTCACACTGGAGAGCAATTCAGTCAATCCTAGGGTTTAGTCATGAAGAGAGTCAAGCTATGGATGCAGCTTTGGCAGCTGGAGCGTTTCCTGGCAGCACTTGGTGAATTTCTCTGAAGATCAGTTTTTTCAATAATAAGCCAATGCTAATTAGCTTTGTAATAATTAAGTAAATTGTGATGTCAACAGGTTGTTTGTCTTTCAGCATTTTTATCATATCACTATTGCCAATTGTTGTAAATGGCAATTATACCTTATAATTATATCATTGCAGCTATTGCAGCCACATAGTTCCAAACATTTGAAACCATAATACATATAGTATGTTTTAATGTGTGATTTTTGCCTTATCGTATTGATGAATGGTTAATTTTTTGGCCTATCTATTGGTTGAATTAGGTTGATTTTTTTAAGAACTTAGTTCCTAATATATACAGCAGATAAAAGAAGGAAAAAAATACTTATGTACTCTTTAAAAAAGAAATAAAACTCGTTACAAAATGATCATAGAAAATATTGTATAAATATTTATATACTTTTTTTATACATTTTATACAGAAAATTTTTTAATATTTTATATTGGGGATCATTTACTAGAGATGACCACCCGACTAAAGCTAGCTGGGGAGCATTATCTTCATTGTTTGTCTTCTATTAAATTTTCCACTTTTAATATTAAGTTTGCAAAATTCTTTGGAAATAGTTTATAAAAAAAAATAGAAATCGATTCAAGAACGGCGGGTCAAGTCCTCTAGATGAACTGCAAGAATTTATTATAATATCAATAATGAATGTTCGTTGCTTTAGTTATAATTCAATTTGCAGAATTCACTGCAATTCTTATAAAAACGCACAAAAGCACGTGTATTTCGCGGGTCTTTTCATCTGGCAATACGATCTTCCGCACCGCCATGTAATTGGTCCGGTCGAGTAGCCGCCAGCCAATCAACGCTGAATCAGCTTTGTTTTGGCAGCACTTTAACAATGGCGACTTGAATATGGAGATTTGGAGTGAGGAAAATTCTCTTCATCAAAATTGAAGAATTTTGCCGATTTTTCAGCGTCAAAATAGTTCTTCATTGAAGGGTATGAACAAAATACATTTACTCAGCATAAATATGTAATTTTTGATTTATAATCATCGAAGATTAATGGCAATAATTCATTGCCACTGATCTGCTGCGATTTCTGCGATGAGCTACTATAAAACTATGCCTAATATACAAAATGAAATATGAAAACTTGTAACTTGTATTAAATTTAATAATTAATGCATATTCAGACTCATTCAGTTCATTAAATAAAATTATGTAGACACAGAAAAGAGAAATAGAGACAACGAACAATAAATTTCTTTTGTCAATATACCATTTTTTTAATTATGCGCATTTGTTTATATGTATATGCCGGTAATAGAGAAGTTCAAGTGCAGTGACATAAACAAAATACAATCGCCTGCATTTTTAATTTGTTTTTAACTAATATAATGCTTCTTTTTTTTAGCTGGCAAATGACAAACTGTTCCAAATGTGGACGGAAGGCAAAGGACGGTGGCTTACTTTCCCTTTCACTTTTTAGATTGCCTCTTTCAAGCAAACCCTTGCTTGATACTTGGCTAGATTTTATTGGCGTTGAAGGCTTCATTCCAAAACCAAGTCATCGCTTGTGCCATGTAAAAGACTTACTTTTGACTTTTTAATTTGAAATAAATTGAAAACATTAATTTTTCTTGTTTGCAGCTACACTTTCGCGAGGAATACATTGAATTTTCCGTATCTGAAGGCAAACTCTTAAGACGGTTGCAACCAGGTGCAATACCTACAGAGGAAGCTCCACCTGAAAAGCGTCGAAAGAGGAAAAAACAGTATACCCCTGGACCTCGACCAAGAGGACAAGGTGATGCAGCATTTTTTTTAAAGCTATATAACCTAAACAACTCTCAATTAGATCTCAATTTATGTTTCATCTGTTTCTTAAAAATTGCTCACAACAATGCTTATTACAACTTTTTCTCTTTTGCAGTTAAGAAGCAAAAAAGCAAAATGGATTCGTTAGAGGACATTGAAGTAATCTGTGAAAGTCCTCCCACTTTGGCAGTTGAAAAAGAAGTCGCTATGAATTATGCAACTAATGATCGTATGTTGTGATTAATATATTACAAAAATTTTAATATGTTTTAAATTGAAAAGTGCAATTTTTATAAATTGTAAACTGAAAAAATTTATATTTTTTTCCCTAGGAGCTTGGATGGATGTAGAGTTCTACTCTCTGCTCAAAGATTACCTGCACAAAGGAATCATACCTGAAAGTATTCCAACCAACAGGAAGAACTTTTTGATCCAGAGAGCAAAGCATTACAAAGTAGTTTTCCACCACAAATTATGAAATTATAGTCCAGTGTTAAATTTTTTAGTTGAAGAACGGAGAGATCATGTATGGAGACAAAATAGTCATTGTGGAGCCAAATGAGCGCAACAGAATCATTGGCACTGTTCACGTAAACCCTAAAACAGGTGTTCATTCTGGTGCTAGGAAAGTGTTTGATGAGCTCCAGAATCACATTTACTGGAGGAGCATGTACAGTGATATTGTCAAGTACATAAGAGCTTGCAAGGAGTGCATTGAAGAAGTTGATCTGACTAGGGCAAAGGAAACCCCCTCGGTGGATAAAGTAAAAATAAATTTTTTGGGTATATTCTATTAAACAAGTTTGAAATGAATATCTAGCCTGGAGAACAAAGCTTTACTTTAGAGAGCACTGAGTGTGCTTCAGACGTCTGTCTTCCTGGACCCTCTTCTGTCCAAATCCCTGTGGAAGGAAAATTGATTCAGCCCACCAATACACCTATCCTAAATGTGGCCATCATCAATCATCCAACTGGAATTGGAGACAAACCAATTTGGAATTTGGTAAAAATTATTAGCCCTGTTGCACAATGATAGTTAAAAATATTTCATTCCAGCTTGAGTTGAAACTGATGAGAATTTTGGGACCAAATACAAATGTCTGTGCGCCACTTTTGCTTTCCTTGGCTGATGACGTCTCTAGGTGGATGGATGTTGTATCAATCCCTTCCGTTGATATTGTACAAGCATGTGTCAAGTTCATCATTTCCCACTGTTCTGTCCTCGGTTTTGCAAAATTCCACATTGTTGGCTTTTTACCTGAGGAGCAAACAGAGTTCACTCAACTCTTCCTACAGAGCTATGCTGACTTGACTACAAAGGTAATAGCAACGGAACTGAACATTTTTTTTTGTTTTTGTAAATTTTTTAGTGTGAGTGTGTGTTTTTTGGTAATTTTTGTGTGTAGAGTTGTATTATTGTGTTTGCTTTATTAAATGCATTCCGTAAATATTTCTCTTATTATAGCTTTGGCCGTACGAGATTATTTGCAACACTGAAATCTGCCCTTGGGTGCAAGAGAAGATGACTTCCATCAATATTGAAAATATTCAAATAGAAGTCTTGAAGTATAGACATGAGGCACAGGTGGAGCTTAAGGGCTGTAGTCCGTCAGATAAAGTTCTTGGCAGGAAAATGTTCTTGCCAGAGGTAATAAATTAATAAACGTTACGATCAAAAAATAATTTTTGTTTTTAGGCACCGCCAAAAGTATTTGCACCTGGTATTGAAGAACTGGTACTTCCAACAGGTAGTATTAAAATGATGGAATTGACTTTGAAAATTAATGTTGTATATTTAGTTGAAGAAATGTGTGCTGATCTAGATGAGCAGGCCGTTCAAGCCGTCCAGTCTCACCTTGCTGCTACGAAGGAGCAAAGAAGCAAGCGTGGATCATATCAGCATCTCACTATGGATATGAAGAGAGCCATCACCATGTACGCCGGCACTCATGGAAGTTTGAAAACTGCCCAGCACTTCTCTGATAAGCTCGGAATCAACGTCAGTGCCAGCACTATCAGGTGCATCACCAAACATTTTAAGGAGATTTGTGCCAAGGTTGACAAAGCTCCAAATAATGTGTGCAAAACAAAGGTAAGTTTTTTAATAAATTTTACAAATTTAAGAAAACTAAAAAAAAATTGTTTTAATTTTAGGAGGGAATCATTATCAAAGTGACAAAGGGTCAAAAGCTGGTGATTCCAAAACAATATGCTGTAACCGTTACTCAAGAGTCGTCATTGACTGACCCTGCAAATGAGAGTGAAGCTATTGTAGAGGACGTCAATGATACTGGAGCCACGGAAAAGGACAAAATTGGGACCGATTGCACCGAAGAGGAAACAGTTGAAACTGGAGCCACTCAAGAGGTCGCAATTGAGACAAATAAAGAAGGGCCTACCCCCAGTAAGAAGCCAAAGCGGTATGGATCAATTCTAAGTCCTCAAATGAGAGCAGAAGTTGCTCAGTATGCACTGGAACACGGCCATCATGAGGCTGTCCTCTACTTCAAGGTTAACTACGACTTGGACTTGATTCCAAACACGGTTCGTGCCATGAAGAAGCGAATGGAGAACAAGAAGTCTCACATTGAGATGCTCCAGGAGCACTTGGAGACTTTGGGCGGCAGTCCGAGAGGCCGTCCTGTCAAGCTAGGAAAGCACGAAGATGCTGTGGTCAAGTGCTTAAAAGAGTTGGCTGAACGAGGTGAAAAGATGACGTCGTACATGGCCCTGACTGCTGCTAAAACTGTCATCACGCAGAGGGAACCTGAGATGCTCAAAGAGAACGGCGGAACGATTGACCTCACAATAGCATGGGCAAAGGCTTTCATCAAAAGGCTGGGTTTGAAGAACAATGCCTAACAATTTTAAATTTGCTAATGTAAAAAGTTATAATGTGGCAAAAATTATTTGTATTTAAAGAAATTTGTTGTAGAATAAAATAAATGCTCAACCTGATTTGCCAATAAAATTATTGTGTAGTTTGTAAAACTTGCCGAATAATATATTTAATAACGATATTATTGTGTACCCAGCAAAACTAAAAATTTACAGTAGCAAAAAGTAAAATAAATAGAAATTTGTAAAAGAAATATTAATTCGCATGTAATTTGCGCGCCAAGCAAAACTAAAGCAATTAGTGTAATGAAGGTGGCAGCACCCACTATTTCCTATTTTAAATGACAGAAGTCAGCTGGAGTTGTTGCCGGCGAAAGCGCGAAAGCATGCACTGGCTGAAGGGGTAGACTCTTGTTGGGGTAGACGCTAACTTGCTTATATCTGTGAATTTGTTTAAGTAAGAAACAAAAAGTGATTTTATTTGCACAACCTCTATCTCTATTTTTATTCAGCGTCGCAAGCCAAACATGTCGGGCCCTGACAATAAGGTCCTAGCAAAGCTGCAAAAAGAAGAGGCGAAATTGACCGCCGAGCTTGAGGCCCTGAAATCTGTGGTCGCCGAGCAAACAAGCAAGGAAGTATTGGAGGAACTGAAGAAGAAGCACATCGATGCCCTACACGAGTACAACGACGTCAAGGACGCTGCTCAAGCCGTCCTGGGCGTGCTGGCCAACCATGAACAGGTCACCGTGAGGGAGATGCACGAGAATTATGATCTGCCCACCAAGAAGGACGAATGAATTTATCCAATTTATCAATGCACTTTGTGAGTACCATTTACATTACAATATATGCGACGAGACTGCAAACGACAGAGAGCTGATTGACCAATAAAATAACATTCATATATGCTGAATAATTTTAAAATAATATTTAAAGTGAAAGTGATTTTTCCCCCCGATTTTTCACTTATATTAAAAATTTATTAATATGTTGTGTAGTAATAAATGGCCAGTTTGAAAATGCACACAAGTATATTAAAAATACGATTAAAAATAAAATTATTTTGCAAAAATATTGAAATCAAAAATTTTTACTCTCAATTTTATTTCAAAGCTACGCAATTAAAAATATTAGTCAAAATATATAAATTAATTTTAATTCCTATTTCATTTTTTATTTTTGACACTTGCAAAAACCTTTTGGTCTGCAGAATATGTTCTTACCAAATAATTTTACAACAGAGGAACCAAGTCACTGAACTGGCTGACTAGGAGCCATTCGACCAAGATTTCGTGACTGAAACACTGACGTACTCGCGAGCAAATATATCCGTCCTGTTCTTTCATTTGTCTTTCTGACGAGGGAAAATGCATCACACGCTCGGTCCGGCGGAAGAGAGAACAACCCTCTTTGCAAATGTTTGCACAGCTTTCCCCACTCGCCATCTCGGAATAGCATTTCTTTTCTCAAGCACTTTTGCTGATTGTGGGTTCGCTGGCCCTTTTATTGTGTGGCGGGCACAGTATGAGATATTCAAAAATAAATAATTATATAAACAAAGAAATATAAAAGTTAATAATATTTTTATATTGCGGTAACAGCATGATTATTAATTTGTTAATATAGTTAGTGAGAAATAATTTGCAGGTCGATTTCTCATAACACGGAATATTGATTTTGAAGGAAAAATGAAATATTTTGTTCATTAAAACTAGCAGCAAAATATATGTTTGAGTAATAATCAAAGTTATTAATAAAAACTAATGTAAATTAAAAAGGTGTTAAAATAACCGTGAATTTTTTACTATTTTTATATTGGAATTTTTAGATAAAAATATTAATTTTGGAATTCTAAATTTCAATTCCTAGAGAATGTTCCTAATAACTACTGCGTCCAAAAACTACAGAGACATCAAGACATGCACAAATATGAATACATAAATTTATTAAAATAATATATTCCTGCAGCATACTCGAGAATGCAGTCTTTCCACCATTTGACAAAGCTGCGGCTCTATCGGAGTGAGAAATCCACACAGCTGACTTGGCACAAATTTTATCCGAGGTGCTTCAAAAGGGCAGTAAAACAGCTACTGCGGAGGTCCCACCTGCTGGGTGTACGCGCAAACCCTTTTCGCCATAAACCTCAACTCCACGCAGTCTGCCCAGTTTTATGGTTTTATTTTCCAGGCATAAGTTGTCGGCAGCTCATGTTTTATTCGCCAAGGTATGCCTTTTTATTTTCACGTGTCTGTGCGACCATATAAAACTGATTTATCCTCCAGATCGCTTTATTCTGCCCCTGCCGGGTTACAATTCCAACTTTTCTAGCCAAAGGGTGGTGTAACCAGCTTGGCCTTGATATTTACCACATTAATTTCCTCGTCATGAACGCGCATTTTTTATGAAAATTAGGCAAGTGTGCGGGTCGCTTTGTGGTCGTTCTCATTTTCTGCGCCGTCGGCCACTTCAAACAGGAGAAAAGTACGTACATGAACGCACATTGCACGGCCTGCTCTTGCAACAGAAGCGAGAGAAGAGGACGTAATATATGCCCTAGAAGCGGCGGCGTTATGAGGGATGAAAAGGTCTTGATTATGCAGAGTTTGTATTCCAGTATGCCGTGACTTTCTGACACGGAATTAATAAATTTATAAAGTTGTGATGTAAGCTCGGCAGCAGGAAACATCAAATATATTATTGCATTGAACTATTTCAAAAAAATCGGCGCAAAGTAGGAATTTGTTATAGTTATTTTTTAATTTAAATTGCGTCTTGAAAGCTTTTCTTAAAATATAAAAAATTTCAATTAAAAATTTGTAATTGTCTCTCGTCTCAAGTTAATGATTATCTTATCTGCATGCCTATGGCAGTGATTGTAAAGCGTGGATAATTATGCTCTTGACGAACTTGAAATAAACACACAAAATTATAACAACATCATTTCATATTAACATAATCTAACAAAGAGTAACAACGGTGCGAAGAAGAATAAAGGGGCCTACTTTTTCCCGATTTTGACCCTCAGTTTTTTTTTCATTTTCATCTTTTTCATTTGCACCGCCTTCTTAGCCCAAGCCTTCTTTTCCTCCTCAGCAAGATTACTCCACTTTTCCATCATCTCCGCCAGGGGCATTCCAGGCTGCTCTCTGGCGGTTGCGGAGCGGAAAGCATTCCAGCCGCCACCTCGAACGTTTATTTTTGAAGTCTTCGACTTCTTGGCCCTTCCATCTGGACGGTCGTTTCGTGACGGAGTTTGCTGGAATTATAACAGACTTATTTTATTACCTGTTTTCAAACTGATCAAATGTTAAGAACATTTAAAATTAATTTAAGAGAAATTAATTTAAATTATAAGAATTTTTACCTCACTAGCGGCCGCTGACATTTTGAGTGAAAGAATCTGTTCAAAATTCGGGAGTAACAATCGGAATCAAGAATGTCACAAAATTTCCTATATTTGATTGTTGCTCAATTTATGCATTTTTTATTCTCCATTTAACTCAAACTTTAAATATAATTTAACTCATTTGACTTAAAGGATAAAATTTTTTCAATTTAAATATAATATACTTTTGAAGGTAAATTTACTTTTACAATGGCCGCGTTTAAAAACTGCACTCGTGCTCTGGCGCGAAAGTATAACAATTGCGCTCGACAATCATCGCGCCAACAAACCCAATTGTAAAACCTGATCATTTTTAAACGAGAAATAGTCCTTGTTAGTCCTTAAAATAGACCCATTTGGATGGTCGGTGCTCATAAAAACACTCACTTTTTCAAAATTCACTTCTCTTTGATGACCTCTAATAATCCGCGGCAACAATACCAATGGTTAAACCTGTTCATTTTTAAACGAGAAATAGTCCTTGTTAGTCCTGAAAATAGACCCATTTGGATGGTCGGTGCTCATAAAAACACTCACTTTTTCAAAATTCACTTCTCTTTGATGACCTCTAATAATCCGCGGCAACAATACCAATGGTTAAACCTGTTCATTTTTAAACGAGAAATAGTCCTTGTTAGTCCTGAAAATAGACCCATTTGGATGGTCTCTGCTCATAAAAACACTCACTTTTTCAAAATTCACTTCTCTTTGATGACCTCTAATAATCCGCGGCAACAATACCAATTGTTAAACCTGTTCATTTTTAAACGAGAAATAGTCCTTGTTAGTCCTGAAAATAGACCCATTTGGATGGTCGGTGCTCATAAAAACACTCACTTTTTCGAAATTCACTTCTCTTTGATGATGACCTCTAATAATCCGCGGCAACAATAACAATGGTTAAACCTGTTCATTTTTAAACGAGAAATAGTCCTTGTTAGTCCTGAAAATAGACCCATTTGGATGGTCGGTGCTCATAAAAACACTCACTTTTTCAAAATTCACTTCTCTTTGATGACCTCTAATAATCCGCGGAAACAATACCAATTGTTAAACCTGCTCATTTTTAAACGAGAAATAGTCCTTGTTAGTCCTTAAAATAGACCCATTTGGATGGTCGGTGCTCATAAAAACACTCACTTTTTCAAAATTCACTTCTCTTTGATGACCTCTAATAATCCGCGGCAACAATACCAATGGTTAAACCTGCTCATTTTTAAACGAGAAATAGTCCTTGTTAGTCCTGAAAATAGACCCATTTGGATGGTCGGTGCTCATAAAAACACTCACTTTTTCAAAATTCACTTCTCTTTGATGACCTCTAATAATCCGCGGCAACAATACCAATTGTTAAACCTGTTCATTTTTAAACGAGAAATAGTCCTTGTTAGTCCTGAAAATAGACCCATTTGGATGGTCGGTGCTCATAAAAACACTCACTTTTTCGAAATTCACTTCTCTTTGATGATGACCTCTAATAATCCGCGGCAACAATAACAATGGTTAAACCTGTTCATTTTTAAACGAGAAATAGTCCTTGTTAGTCCTGAAAATAGACCCATTTGGATGGTCGGTGCTCATAAAAACACTCACTTTTTCAAAATTCACTTCTCTTTGATGACCTCTAATAATCCGCGGCAACAATACCAATTGTTAAACCTGTTCATTTTTAAACGAGAAATAGTCCTTGTTAGTCCTGAAAATAGACCCATTTGGATGGTCGGTGCTCATAAAAACACTCACTTTTTCGAAATTCACTTCTCTTTGATGATGACCTCTAATAATCCGCGGCAACAATAACAATGGTTAAACCTGTTCATTTTTAAACGAGAAATAGTCCTTGTTAGTCCTGAAAATAGACCCATTTGGATGGTCGGTGCTCATAAAAACACTCACTTTTTCAAAATTCACTTCTCTTTGATGACCTCTAATAATCCGCGGCAACAATACCAATTGTTAAACCTGTTCATTTTTAAACGAGAAATAGTCCTTGTTAGTCCTGAAAATAGACCCATTTGGATGGTCGGTGCTCATAAAAACACTCACTTTTTCAAAATTCACTTCTCTTTGAAGACCTCTAATAATCCGCGGCAACAATACCAATGGTTAAACCTGTTCATTTTTAAACGAGAAATAGTCCTTGTTAGTCCTAAAAATAGACCCATTTGGATGGTCGGTGCTCATAAAAACACTCACTTTATTTCATAATAATTTTTTTTCTGGCTAGGCCAAGCGAAAGTCTTTTGTGCCTGTGCCTTTTATTGATGGTGCAGAAGGCACCACCCAATCTTTTTTTTTTTTTACAGAAACTTGACTTTTGCACTCTCAATATATTGTTTTATAACGTTCAGCATTACTAAGTATGAAATAAGTTATATTATTAAATAAATGTTCATACTTCTTCAGCATCATGTGAAATTTTTTGCCTAACATCTTAGCTTATAGCTTGCATTATTTAAGTGTTTGCTTCAGTCAAGTCGGCTCAAAAGGCGTTTTGATCGTGCTTTTGCATACCAGCCCGTGAATACCTGCTTTTCGCCAAAGGGAGTTGGTTTTTCGAACACGAGGAGATTGCCTCGATGTTCGAGATTTATGAAATGAAGCAAAATAAAAACACGAGACCTTCAGCCTTTGAGAAAGAGTTTTGCCTTTTGATGGCGACTGAATTATAGATCAAAGAACGTCTTT